AATTGGGCGATGTGCCTGCAAATGCAGCATCGCTTCATTTCTTCGAGTACTTTAGTTGGCTCTTAAACCAAAGCCTCTTTCCATTCGAAAATGAATCCTTCTTTATTACCTATGACACGTATTACCTAATTTTCCGCGGGATATACTGTTAAACATCGCAACCGCTCTCTCACTTCATATCTTATCCAACCAGAGCATGTCCTGTCCAACATCTCCCCTAAGATGTCATCTCCCGCTGAAGTACCCAAATTATGTCATAACTACGGCATCAGTTCATCTTTGTCTTATAATTAATCAAAATTATTGTATTTATGTACTCCCGTTGCGATCTGGCAAATTATTTTCCGGCACTTAGGGGTAGACATTCACGCTATCTAAACATGCTCATATCTCCTGGCCACTTAGTATATATATCTAAATCATATTTTGCCTTACATCCTACCTAGTCTCCCTCAAACATGTACATACAACAATGTACTTCATGATCTTATTAACCTCTGCTCTTATCGGGGCATGTCATTGCGGTCCCACAATTGACATTGAAGTGCCAAACAAGGCATACAACGCTCTATAAGGTGTGCCAGCGTACCGCTGTCAGGGGCAAGGTATTACTGTCGCTTAGTTTAGCTCCTGATATCTGCTAATTTCTCAGGCTACTTATGTCTATGGTGGCTCGGCCAAGAAGGATTCTTTCTTGGGTGTTTGCTCAAGATCTACGCCTACAACTTGGTCTCCAGTTAGATCCTGTTATTTAACCGGCCCTGCAGAAACTTGGGCATTGAATTTCGGTGTACGCTTAATGAAGTAGCTATAAGATTTATTAACCTCGAAGTAGGCAGTTTGTTGTGAAACCGTAACGGATAAGGCGAGATAGTTATAAGCGGTAATGTCCATCTAATCGGAATAGAACAACAGTCTTAGTAGAACACAAGTAGTGTTTTTTATTATAATACTACTACTACTACTACTACTACTACTACTACTACTACTACTACTACTACTACTACTACTACTATCCCGCGCTTAAGTAATAGTACTTACAGCACGCCTTAAACCCACTAGACGACATCACCCAGAGCAAAGCCTCATATACAGCATTCGAATATCATCATGACATAAATTGATTATCCATCATGTCCAAATATGAAAATAATAAATACAAAGAAGGAGCACAAAAAGTAAGTGCAATCACCCCAACCCCCCATTTTTACTTGGAGAAAATAACTCCAGCCTGATCAACACCATCCGCCGCGCGACCCAAAAGCCCAACAATGCTCTTACCAGCCGGCGCAGTCCTCGTAACGCAATCGCTTGTCTTAGCACCTGTGGAAATAGTCTTTCCAGCACTGGTCTTGAACTCAACGTAGAAGAGGCGGTTATCTCCGTTCCTCTGGCCCTGACACATCGTCACAGCCATCAGCGTCTCTCCACTCGCCAGTGTCAAGCTAGTCTCCGTGCCACCAGTACCGCCATGCGAAAGAGTCTGGCCAGAAGCAAGCTTCAACGCAATACTGTCGACGCGGTCAGCCCCACGAAGCGTGACCGACGCGACTTTAGCGCCGCTAACACCAGCAACGGTATCGAGATCGTTAAACCAGTTTCCGCCTTCGCCGCCGAAAGCGTCGGAGAGAGTAAAGCGGTCGACGGCGGCCCAGTCAAAGTCGACGAGCACGCCGTTGTGGTCGCTGAGGATGTCGCCGTTGTCCTGGAGGAACATGTGGCCTGCGTAGTCGAATTTCTTGGCTGTGAGCTTGACGGCGGCCGAGCCGCGGTACCAGGTTTTGTCCACGATTTCGCACTCGTTGGTGGTCGAGGGGTTGGAGCAGAGGAGGGCGTCTGCGCCTTTGGCGGGGGGCACACCCTTTTTGATGAGATCGACCCAGACGTCCGTCATGCCGTTTTGCTCCTTGAAGACGGCGGGGATGTCGTCGGTGCGTGTGTAGCGAGAGTTTGAGTCGCCGAAGACGATGACCGGGTTGCCGATGGAGTAGGTTTTGATGTAGTCGGAGACTTGGCGGAGGTTGTCTGCTCGGGCTTTGTTGTCGGCGTCCGTGGTACTTTGGATTTGTTAGTTGCTGGTTGAGGCATTGATGTTTCAATTAAGACTTACCCAGCATCTGCGTGCAGGTTGTATGTGTCGATGACGACGCCCTCGGCGAACTTCACTCGCATGGCAGTGAAGCCCTTGGGTGTAAGGCAGTCTGCACTACTGTTGAGGGAGTACCGTTAGTATCAAGTTTCACCCTTGGATTTATTGAACTTACTCGAAAGTACTGCAAGTGTTCCATTTAACCCTGTTAAAGCTGGTAAAAGGATAGTTGCTCAGCGAGTTCAGGCCGCTACCGAAAGGTACACCACCGCTAGTGGCTGTTCGGAATGGATGCTTGTCGCTTGCATAGAGGGTAGCGTGGTAGTTGAAGTCCTCTTGAACATGGATGAGCGAGATGTTGTATTTTGTGAAAAGCTCTCCGATACGAGCAGTGTTGGTCGTCTTGTCACCAGGGACATCGTTGCCATTGAGGGCAGCGGGAAGGCCAGCAACGTTAAATGTGAGAGTGTTCAATGTGCCCGAAGTCTGAGCGAGGCTCAGAGGGAGCAATGAAGAGAGGGCAACGGCCGAGGCAAGGATGGAATGCATCTTGAAAAAAGCGAAGGAGTGGTCAGGTTTGCTGCTGTGTAGAGGACAATCCTCAGAATCTGGTGATAGATCATCGCTCTTATACAAACAGAAACATTCACAACCATTGTAAATGGCTGTATGGGTGGGGTTCAAGATAGGTCAGGCGCACTTAGACGTCACTAACGAATAGAAGTAAAGATTGTTGGCATGTGCGTTAAACTGACTGCGCCTTGTCCGTCGGAGGCACAGGTATTGTCGGAGAGGGATGCCTTTACAGTAAGGACCAGTACATGTCAATCCAGTAGCGGCTAGCGTGCCCGATGTTGATGCGACATTGACCGGGGTCCCAGCACACGTGTTTATGGTAATGCACTATTGTGGAAGGACAAACTGGCCTCCATGTCGACCTCCAGGAACCATTACATTGACTCTATGCGTGTGCGCCGTTTCGACACATCTTGGTCCCTTGCAGATAAACGTCATTACAACTTTGCTGCACCTCCTACTCGCACCCACAAGCCCTCGGCTTGAACGACGGGCTTGCCCTGTCGATCCCTCATAATAGCTCTTATCCGCATCTTGTTTCCCTTATCTTCCAAAACGTCCGTCTCAATGCCTACGATTCCTGGACAAAGTACCGGGGCTAGCACCCTGGTGTCCATGCTTGCCGTTACCAAACGGCCCTTAAGAACTTCTTGTGCCGATTTACCGTGGAAAAGTTGGAGTCGCCATTGCTCCTCGCCAGCCTTCATGAATGCGACCCCGTGCTCAACCACCGTGTTCGCAACAACAATGTAGCACATTGCTTCGTCCATGAGCGTGAAGAGTGCCCCTCCGTGGCAAATTCCAGGAAAGCCGTTTAGGCCCGTGCCAAACTTTATTAGAGAAATTGACTTCATAATTTTTCCGCCGGGGTTACTAGGCCGCTCGTGTAGCTCGACCCAGTGTTGCACACCGTGGTTTGCGCGCATTGTGTCACGACAGAATCGGTCCGTATCTTCCCCAGGCTCGGACCCTCGTTCGCGGTCGCAAACCATCCATTGGGGAGATGTAAGGTATGGTGTGGCCCAACTGAGGAGCGCAAAGGCTTGGAGATGTTCAGATGTGGCTGTCATTATCATGTGCAGTGGTTGTCGGCTTGTCGCAATCAAGTTGACACCCCTCCTGTGCGGCCAATTTATTCATTTTCGTTGCGCCGATAGGATTAGTATACGATCAGTATGTTGCATCTATTTTTGCAGCAACTGCTTAGTGCTGATGGCGCAATTCTACTTAGTTGCTGTTGACTGATCAACTATGTAAGTAGAACGGGTGTACCTAGCCAAAGAAAGTCCGTGTTCGGCATGCGGTGAGGGCGGCCGACACATGATGGCTTCTGTAAACTGATAGCTTACTATTTCGGCTATCGTATGACTCGCGATGCCTTGGCCTTTGAAGGAAGAGGCGTCAGACCGATGGCGCTGTGTGGGTGTGGGAACATGTAAATGAGAACGTAACAATGCGAAAGAAGGCAAAGGTTTGGTGGGTCCGAGCGTGCTTTGTCACCTTGACAACTAATCAAGGAAAATAACTACTTCTGGAATTTACTAACTCCACACGCATTTAGCAGATAGGCGCTGTTGGTTGGTTCGGGGCTGTAATGCACCAAACTTGCGGGGCAGAACCATCCAAGCATGATGCCGTTTGCAGGTACCCGCAGTCTTCAACACTAGCTTACCGTCAGTCTCGCCGATAAAATGGGCACCGTAGCGCTCTTATCTCGGCATTGTTTCTCTCCGTCTAGGATGCCCAGACCAAACTCATGCGAGTATACAACTATGAACATATTCTAATGGTTCTTGACTTGAGCGTTTCAGGTTGATTGCCGCATATCCGAAGGAGCTGGTGTAGAGGATATGTGCAAAAGGTACTAGCAAGCGTCTTGAAACAGACAGCTTAAAATAGACGAAAGTATTTGAAAACTTTGAAATTCATGTCCACGGCTAACCAATATCGGTTTCCAGGTCTTGTACTTTGGCTTGTGCTGCGAATTAGCTCCAGTTACACGCTAGGGACCAAAGTATACCCCACATTTGGTTCTATAGCAAGTCAAACAGGCCCTTCTATCGAGCTACCCTCTGCTTGCCTTAGTTTCGTATGCTGAGTCCTAATCTAAAGCCTATGCCTTGACATCTATCTCTTATGTCGTTCAACATGCGTACATACACCACAGCAGCTATTATCTATATACTACGTCTCAACGAGTACAGAGGATGTTTTTTTAGTCATTTGAATCCCAAAGCAAAGGATGTTGTAGAGCACTTTGTTTTGGATATATGGGGGACGCTGCTTTGTAAGGCGACGGGTGGGGAGGTTGATATTGTTCCAAGTGAACAACGAGCTACGAAGCACAAGCGGACTGCAGTAGCTTAACTGCGTCTTCGCGCCCCCTTCTGGTGGCCCACGATAGCAGCATCTGACGGTCATTCTCCCAGTTGACCTCAGCCTTACTAGCGTCTAGCAATAGCTTAACTACACCTTCGTGCCCGTTTCTGACAGCCCACCATAGCGGCGTATCGCCATATTCATCTTCTAAGTCGGCCTCGACCTTGCCCGTATCTAGCAGTAGCTTAACTACGCCTTCGTGCCCATTTTCGGCGGCCCAAAATAGCGGTGTCCAGCCGTCTTCATCCCTCGAGTCGAGGTCTACAAAATCAATAATTGCCGCAGCTACGTCTGTGATTCCGAAATATGCACATAAGTGCAGTCCTGTCATTCGCCTCGTAAAATATTGACTATAGCGATCATCCCATGAAAACTTCTTATAGACTTGCATTGCTTGAGATGCAGCTTCCATATTAATTTTGTGATGGAAGAATTCGATGACTTTCGAATGTGCACTCCGGGCCTGACAGGCATGGTGACCCCAGTAGTGCGCAGCATAGTCGTATAATGGGTTCAGTTGCAGCCGCTCCTCAAAGCTAGAGTCTGTGTCGCAAGGGCCACTTCCAAAGACCGCGAATGAGAGATAGATTACACAGATCGTCGTGATGTCGAATTCTGCGGTTGGAAACCAGTTCTTTTGTGTCCGTTCGAAGTATTCTTGTGTAGTATAATGCACTAAGCGAATAATGCCACTCTCTTCATCAACAGTGACTAGTCCAGCACATATCGAAACAATGTCTTCGATGTCTGATTTGTTGTCTTCGTCGAATTCTGCTTGTCCGCCGTTGACAGCAAGAGCATGCTGAAGCTCTATGGTAGTCAGTGGCCTCTTTGCGCAAGTGATCCATGACAGAGCTTCCTTTGCAAGCATTGCTTCATCCGGTAGCTGCCCCTTGATTCTCGTCATAGCATCAGAGTATGCACAACTGTATGATTCTGTTCCGGTGGGCAAAGTCTTCAGAGCATCTCGAATAGCCGTTCGGGATCTTTTTCCTTTTAAGGAATTGAGATGAAGTTTTGCAAGTAGAAACCTATTACAGTTAGTAAAATCTTCAAGAACGGGGTAAGAAGCTACATTCATGCCATCGACAGCTTTGACGATCTCAGAACTAATTTCCTGCTGTAAATCCAGATCACGTCTGACAAAACGCGGCAGTTCATCGATATGTCCTTCTACATATCTTTGGATATCTTCCTTGCTGGCGCGGATTTCCAACCATGTGTCTCGTTCAAATCTCTCCGTGATGTCCGGAATGAATCTTGACGTTGCGAAAAGATTCGCTCCACAACTAGTCTGAAGTTGTGAGAGTTGTGAAAGTAGCTTCGCTCGGCAACTATCATTGACTCGACATTCGTCCAGCGCATCGACAAGGATAAAGACTCGCGAAAACTCAGCAACCACGGAATGAAGGGCCGTTGAGATGTCATCTATCGAAGGCTGGACCTTCATAGATTTGTATTTGTCATAGAGAGACCTGACAGTTTGTGGGAGAGAAGATCTTGCTTGAGCTAGCTGCTTCAGTACGCTTGCGAGTAGGTCTTCCAACGTTTGCTTGTCTTGCCGCTTGAAGTTGCAGTATATGTAGGCAATACCGTTGTTGCTTTCGTCTTTGAAGTGTGAAGAAAGCTTGTCTACTACAATTGATGTGAGTATTGTCTTCCCAGCTCCTGGTATACCTGGGCAGAAAAGTGTCTGTTTCTTGGTCCCTAACCAGCTTTTGAATTTCGCCGAGTCTAGAAGCCATTTCCCAGATCCAGCTTGCCACTGCTTGAGGAAGTCGTTCTGCTGAGGAGCGTAGCCAGTTGGTGTTAGCCAGTCAAGGATGGCTTGTTGCTCCTTGTCTTCTTGGTACCGCACTAATTTGAAGGTGTTGTCTCGAGTAAGTCGCCCGGTCAGTGCGGCGAGTAGATCAATATTGACGTTGACATCACTCCGAAGATCGCGGATGTCCTCTGGCTCTACAGATAGTCGCTTCCATGCCCTTTTCAGCTTGCCGCCGACGCTCGTTTGCTGCGAGTCCAGCACGATATACTTGTCTACTGTGTGTTGAAGCTTGCCAAGAGTATGTTGGCAACCATCAAGAACATCTCGGAAATCTGTTTCCTCTTGAGGGTTGAGTTCGTGTTCGGATACCGTTACTTCAGCATCGTTCAGGACAATAGAAAGGCTTCGGAGCCTACGTGTCAACTGTATCAGTATAGCCCTTTCATCTATGGCTGTCACATACACATTGGATATGTCCTCAAACTGGCTTGGAGCGCCAACGAAGTCTTTCCTAATCTTGTTGACCAGTCCAATCACCGCTAGAAAGTCGCCAATGCTGAACCCAAAGCTCATTACTGCATTTTTCCGAGTGCTTCGAGTGTGGATAGAGATGTTGGGACAGCATCCTCAGCCTGATAAGAACGTAAGGTTGTTCAGCTGGGTGGGGCACTTGGCAATTCTGTAGCACAGCCCGCTGGCGCAGCACGAAAACCTGACACATCGCCTAATTCGTCTGCCTACCTAGAGTGCCAGGCTGATTTGCGGCACCAGCTGCATCATTAAAGCCATATGGAATGATGAGAACGTTTGCAAATTACGGGAATGTACCTGCAAGTTACCAATACAAAGTAAGAACTCTCCTTGTTACCTAGGAGACCCATGCTGTGAGATCAAGTAAGTACTGTATAATACTTAGTGCAAAAGCTTTGAGACCGAATTTGCTCACGACTGTACACAAATAGCTCCGACCACCCCACTCGCCTCCCTGCCCACAGGATCTGCATGTATTGAAACATGTCTTCCAGTAAACTCGCTTGATGTAAGTACATATTATTTTACTTTAACGCATATGATTTTGTATTAAGAGATTGGGCAGCCCCACTTCTCTAGCTAAGTAGTGCATGCATGAACTTTGTGTAACAGGGTTGTGCCTCCAAGACATAGATTCCTAGCGAATACTGCAAGGCATGTTTCAAGATGCCTAAATCAACTCCCTTGTCTTCATTTACAGCCCCAAATCGTGGAACTCATGTATGTAGCCGTTCTCTGGATCGGTAAATGAAAGGGAGCGAAGTAAGAAAGTAGTCTGGTTTCACTACTTGCAGAGGACGAACTTCTGTGCTTGGAACATATCTTTTTCCAAGACAACTGTTCATCTCATCTCATCTCGGTGCAGATGGTTTCGCACAGCATGGCTACCCCGCCATAACCTAGCCACTTTGAAATTTTTCTCTCCATTCAAGACCTTGGCATACACAAGGAACAGCCGTGTGTTCGTCCGTCACTACCACCTTTACTCATTATCCTTTTTCTGACTCAAAAATGTTATCCTCTTGGCTGCGTCATCACTTAATCCACACAAGTCCTTGAACTCTTGTACTTCCTCGCCTTTCTTCTTCGTCCTCTCGGCAAATTCATTCAAAGGACAACTCTTGCCTGGCCCGCTGTGACAGTCCGGTAAGGCCGTGATACCGTCGTTGATGTTGAGCCTGACAAATTTCTCTCGAGGGCTATCGTCACCACTGCCTGTTTTACATGAGAGTAATTCGAAGATGATACGGCCGCCCATCGGGGAGACTTGGGACTTGCGCCATTTGCGGTTGTGGGGGATATGTGTAATGGGAAGATGCTCTTCGTCGTTGATGACATCGAGTGCGGAGATCATGGGTGCAATATCACCATCGTGAACACTATTTTTAGTGTCGTGTTAGTTCCCGTTCCATGTTCTCGGCTACTGAGTTTATAAAGAGGTGGGAAACTCACAAGCTGAAGAACAATGGGCCTGCCTCTTCTGGGCCTTCCAATAGCAAGTTTGTTGTAGCATTCACCCACAACCACCCCATGCTCTTTGCATACTTTTGTCCTGGCCCGGCGCGGTAGTAGTGCAAGATATCTCTTGCGTACTCAAAGCCGAGAAACTCTTCTTGTGTGAACACATTGCACCAATCACTCCGTCCGCGAACCGTGGTTTCAAACCCACACATTTCCTGCATGGCGTAGATCTCTTCGTCATTAAACACCATGCCTGTTTGTTCGAGAAGGCGTTTGCGGATAGGAGGCATGTAAGTAGAGCGATATCTACGCATGAGACGATATCCTTTTGGCTGGCCATTCTCTTTGTCTTTCTTATTGGCGATGCAAGTCCGTCCGGGTGTTAGCGTATCTGCACCGAGTGAGGAGTGCTCCGATATGACCGAAAGGTTCGCTGTATTTTTGCTAGCATAATCAAGTCCGAAGAAGCCTGCAGCAAAGTGTTTCGCTGTTTCAATTACACGGTTGGAGCCACTGGCCCAAAAGGTAGTAGGATGATCCGGATGAATGGTCGCAGCTTGGTCAATTAGATGTCGGTAGCGAGTACGGAGGCGAACTCCTGTAGTAAAGGAGCCGAGTGTTCCGGCAAAGGGACCAGTGGATGTGAGTTGCTCCAGATCTTCTTCGTCTGTTTTCATTTAGTAAGTGCGAAATGAGACCTTGGGTGAACAAAGGACGTACCTGAAGACCAGAAGAGTTCCCATTCATTGAAAAATGACAAGGTGCCAGTGAAATCCTTGCCCGATTCTCTCATACGCATAACGACGGCTTTCTGGGCTGTAGATATGGTAAGCATATATCAAAACCATAGCTACATGCTCACTCACCACTGCCAGCTCTCTTCGTCGGATATCGCTCAGCATGGCGAGCCATCTTCATAAAGACTTTAGCAATTGCAGGATCAGGGCCAATAATGGCTATTACTCCAACAACAATAGTGAGCAGATACGTACCATGTGAACCTGCACCACCTCGCATCCCTCAGGCGTTGCGACGCCCCCCTCGACAACATCAATCACCTTCTCAACCCACGGCCCATTACCACCAAGGTGATACAAGATATTCCAGCCCTCCGTCATCACTCCTGCACTATCCTTGCTGTTATCGCCTCTGCCATGGCTGCGTTGTGGGTGCCACCAAGCGTCCCAGCTCGAATGATGAGGTTTCTCAGCGCCTCCATAACCCAAATAACCAGGATATGTAGTTACCGTTGGGCAAAGAATCTGAGCATAAAGCGAGGGATCTATTGCTGACAGGAACGAGATATTGTAGACGCTGTATCGTGCTGAAAGTATAGCTATAACGACGGCTGCTACAAAGGCCCAAAATGTAGACGCTGACATTGTGGCCGCAGTAACGATATGAATAACGTGGACGAAAACTAAAGTGTATCATGAAGAATTGATGTTTTTATTGCATTACTGGTCGTTTGGGAACTGCGTTTTGGGCGGTGAGGAGCCTTTCGAGCAACCAATTCTTTCCTGCCCGAGTGTGGGTCGTAGTGTCTGCTCCTTAACACCTGTCTTATTTACAAACATGTTTACATGTCCGCTAGAGGCAAGTGAACCGCGGTGGTTTTTCCATCCGCAATCAATACCAACACACCTATTTCCCACTTCACAAGACGAGGAAAAAGAACACGAGTGAGAGAGTAACAACGAAATACCAATGTTGGCTGGCCCAAACGCGGGTAGTGGGGAGCCTCGGCATGTCAACCCTCGCGCTAGATTGGCCCCCCACACCTCCGCGTCGATCGATCGCGTCCTCCGCATTTCCACGCATCATCCCATCTCCACGGTTGCAACAAACCATGCAAACCGTTGCATTTGTGTAACACCCAAAAAATAATTCAACAAAACTAATACCTTCCTCCCAAAATGGCGGACACAAAAGTGCTTTCCAAAACAGCAGAAACAACAGACTACGAACCAGACCCAACATCCTACTCCTCCTACCAACGCGACATCTACTCCTCCCTCCACTCGCCCAAATACTCCACCAAACCCTCACAATGGGAAGCCAGCGCCCGTGCCGCAATTCCCCTCCCCAACTTCCTCTATGTCGCCGGCTCCGCCGGTAGCGAAGATACCTACCGCTCCAACCTCTCCGCCTTCTCGCGCTACCGCCTCCTTCCCAAGATGCTCGTCCCCGTCACCCGGCGCGACATGAGCGTCACCCTCTTCGGCACCAAATACCTCAGCCCACTCCTCGCCGCACCGATCGGTGTCCAAGAAATCCTACACCAGGACGGCGAAGAAGCCACAGCGCGCGCCTGCGCCGCCGCCAAAATCCCCATGATCCTGTCTACAGCCGCCACCCGCAGCATCGAGCAAGTCGCCGCCGCAAACGGCGAAACCGGAGACCGCTGGTTCCAACTCTACTGGCCCAAACCCTCTGCAGAAACCTTCACCGCATCCCTCCTCTCGCGCGCGTGGGGAAACGGATACAAAGTCCTCGTGGTAACCCTTGATACCTTTGTCATCGGCTGGCGCCCCAACGACCTCGACACCTCGTATCTCCCCTTTGTCTGGGGCCAGGGCTGCCAAGTCGCCTTTTCAGACCCCGTTTTCAACCAGCTCTTCGCCGAAGAACAAGCGCGCGATACGCGGTCGGTGGCCGAGAAAGTCGCGGAAATATGGCAGATTCTTAAGAGACCAGGGAGTATTGGGGGTGCGGCCAAGGTCCTGGCGCATGCGTCGGTGATGAAGAAGGCCATGTTTTTTACGAGTCTGGTGGCGTCAGGTACGTATAGGGATTGGAGTCAGCTGGAGATTCTCAAGTCGCTGTGGAAGGGGCCCATTGTGCTCAAGGGGATTCAGACGGTTGAGGATGCGCATCGCGCGATTGAATATGGGATGGATGGTATTGTCGTCTCGAACCATGGAGGACGCCAGCTTGACGGCGCCATTGGGTCGCTCGATGCGCTGGCGGAGATTACGGCGGATGAGAAGGTGAAGGGCAGTGGTTTGACTGTTCTCTTCGATTCGGGGATTAGGACCGGGTCGGATGTACTCAAGGCGCTGGCGCTGGGTGCCAAAGCGGTGCTTGTAGGCCGTCCGTATGCATATGGACTTGCCATGGGCGGCGAAGAGGGTGTGAAGCATGTGCTGGATTGTCTACTGGCTGATACTGATAATTCGCTTGCCAATCTGGGTAAGAAGAGTTTGGCAGATTTGAGCAGAGGAGATCTTAGGATTCTGCAAGAGGTTGCGAAGTTGTAAATATAGAAGGCATCACATAGTACGGGGGTCCTGGGTACGATAGAGAGATATGTGCATTATCAAGCGAATGAGATATGTATGCTATGAACAAAGGAAAGGAAAAGGAAAAAAACCTAAAACTAAGAACTACGATTATGTCATGCGTAGTAGTACTGTAGACAAAAAGAGATATAAGGAATAAATAAACAGTGATACAACTAGCCAAACCCGGGCCATGTCTCCCCGCTTTGCAACGCCTGAAAGATGTGTGTGCTCAAAACGATGAATAGAGCATCATTCACTATTCCAAAAAGGAAAAAAAAACGCCCCCTTGACGTACTTACAAAACACCTCTCAACGCCGCATCTGCCGCACTGTTCATGATGTGCGGCTTGTACATCCGGCCCTTTGGGCAAAACTACCTATCTTACACTACCTACTTCTTTTTGCTATCCTGGACCTCGGCGCCAGAATCAAATTCCTCACGAAAGCTCCTCATATCCTCACTGTCGGTTCTACTTGCTGAAGGACGGTGGGAAACGCGAGGGGAATCGGGTCCGTCTGAAAAATTGCCCACGCTGCTTTCACGCACGCGTTGGGCCACGCTGGCTGCAATCTTTTCGTCCAGCATGTTGACCAGCCGCTCAGAGTACTGGTCTAGCAGCTTGATCATGACCGTTTCTTCAAAAGCCTTAGTTTTGACTCGATCACCAATGGCTCTTGCAGTCACAGCAAGCTCTCTCTCCACCTCCTTTGCGAGCTCAGGGCTCATGGTATCGGTAGAGTTTGCAAGGCGCTTCCTATAGGCCCGGAGTGTTCTGCACAAGCTCTCTGTCGATCCATCAATAGTCCCGAATTCGCGGGCAGGTGCTTTGTTACGGTTCCTAGCGTCCGTTGATCCGCGGCGCTTGGGTCGTTGTGTGTTCCTGGGACTTGGAGGGGACGGCGAACGATTCTTGTTTCGCCGCCCTGTGCCCTTCTCTTGACAAGTTGTTTGCGCGTCTCGCGCGCTGCTTGGGATAGGAGAAGGCTCTAGCTTGGGTGTCGAAGTCGAACCCAAGGAGATTTTTGAGAGCTTCTTCCTCAGTTTCGGTGACCTACTCCCACTCGGTGTGGAGTCTCCTTCTTGATTTGAGCGTTGATAACGCGCCAATTCTGACTGCGACAGTACGCGCCGTAGAGGTGGCCTGTTGGACAACAGATCCTCTTTTGATGGCGTATTTGGAGCAAGTAGGTCAGGAGCCTTTGGTGGATCAGGACGACTTGGTGTTTGGATGCCAAGGTCCCAGACAAATATAGTCCCGTCTACTGCGACAGTAACTAGCGACTTTTCGCTTGACTCGTCTGCTAAACTTTGAGGCGTATTTACGAGTGCAATATTGGAAACACCCTCGGTATGGCCCCAGTCACGAGCAACTAGCAACCCATTGTCATCGTATACACGTATCGACTTGTCTGTGCTCGATACGCCAGCAATTAATGGAGCGCCCCAGCCGCGAGATATGTGGACCAAGGACGACAAAACAACCGCGTCTCCTCCATCTGTATCACACGCACGGAAGTTGCTCAGGCATTGACCTGTGCGGATGTCGAATTTGTGCACCTGACGATCAATGGTCGAAACCAGAAGGGTATCGTCCAGATCGACGTCCCATGCTGTAGACACGGGTGTTGCTTTTACAATAATGGCCCGTGACATCACGAAGGCGCGATTGGTTCCATTGGCATCTTCGAGCGACAATCGTTCGCGAACTACCAGACTTCGATCGCTTGAGGACGACACTAGGCGTGTGCCATCGCGTGAAAATGTAACTCCATTCACTGATCCGACATGCTCGTCCAGTGTTTGCAACAGGTCCCAAGTCTCTCCAGTTCGCGTAAAGACTTGCACGGTCCGGTCTCGGCTGGCCGAGGCGACAAATATCTCTTGTTCTTCTTCGTGTATGGCGATACTGGTGATCTCGCTTGCATGTGCTTTGAATTCCAGCATGCAGGTCTTCGTTTCACAGTTGATGAATCTCAATACGCCGAATTTGTCTCCTGCTATCAGATGTGTACCGTCGGCGGTGATGCGCACAGTCCTCAACTCATTGGGAATCGCCTCAGGGTCGTCTAGCTGTTCAAGGTAGACTTGGAGAGAGTCTTTACACGCGCCCTGACTCCAGAAGATTACTGTTCCGTCGGCAGCCCATGTATAGTAGGAAGCATCGAAAACGTTGGGTTGAGCGAGTCCTGCGTGTACGCCAAGTACCGCTTTGCCATGTGCTGGCAACGTGCGAACTACCTTACCAACAACCGCATCGTCATCATCAGAACACAGCTGTGACAACCGAATGGCTCGTTGGGAATCAACGGTGACAACGTAGTCTTTCAAGCAAGCAATGACGCCAATTTGTTCGCAATCAGTAACTGGGACGGTAGGTGACTGAACCCGCGGAGGAGGAGATGGTGGAGGAGTCCTGATCCCTGTAATCTCACTGATGTTGAAGGTCTTTAGTGTTCCTTGGCTACCGACAACATGGAGTCGACCTTTGACGTCTGCCGCTAGTGAACTTACGGCGAATCCAGCATCTGCCAGCTTGCGGAAGCGTTGGTCTGATTCTGAATCGTCAATCAGACAAATATCTCCCTTGTCGGAAGCTACAATAGCCTTGTTTCGGGCTATGGCAACGACGCTGGTGAACGTGGATTCTTTGAGGCTGTCAAGAATACAATTCCTCCCTGGCAATGTCTTGTGCATGGAACTGGAAAGAAATGAAGCATCGCTCTGGCGGCCTCTGGTGATGCGCAGCGTCGTGTTGATATCATCAATCTTCCAGACTTTGACGTGGCGGACGCCAACGGTGATCAGTTTGTTTCCCATCCATGCCATCCGGTTGATTCGACTGACACACTTGTTGCTAGCATGGAGCGTGGCAGCTCCGGAGCGCGAGTTGATGTGCCAGATGTAGAGGAAGCCATCGTTGGCTGAGCCTAGACTTGCAAGGAAACGGGAGTCGGGGCTGAAGGCTACGCAGTTTACGCCAAAGGTGTGGTCTGTAAGTGATGAGAGAGGGGTATCGCAGGGGACATCTGGGGAGGCGGAGAAGATGAGGACGCGAGGTTTGTAACCCGTCTGAAGTAAGTTAGGATATAATAGAATGAGGTGTAAGCATGTGACTTGCCTCTCCTACAGCAAAGTATCTGCCGTCGGGGCTAAAGCTAACGCAGGTTGCTGCCTTTATTTTGTCCCTTGTGGTCCAAGCTTTGTTATTGGGAGAGTCAGCCCAGTCCTGACTGCTGGGTGACGAGGCTGACGAAGCGCCAAAACTGGCGTCGCGCAGAGAAACAGCTGTGCGGTTGCGGCTCTCATTCTGAGTGGGTGTTGATGGGCCGCCGTAGATTGATGCCGAGGGGTTGATGGGATTGGTAGCAGGCCGTGCGCGATAGAAACGCTGGGTGACATGACCGCGATCATCTATGGCAGCAATGACAGCTGCAGCGCCAGCAGCATAGCCAAAAGTGGAACCCGAGGGCAGACTATCAAAGGCATTGGGTGAATTGGTCGTGGTTCCGATGACCTGGCGCAGCGATAGGTTGACTTCGGCGCGCGCTTGCTTGACGGGCGAGGCGCGCGGGGTGGCCTTGTAGAAGGGAGAAGGAGAAGCAGTCAGTTTGATGCCAGACCCAACCGCTGGGCTCATCCGGGAATTGGAGGGCGTAAGCGACATCGCGGCCTCCAGGTCGATGGTGGATGAGGTGTGGGATGGCTAGCAGACATGTCAAAAAGGCGTCATGGCACTGGGTGCGCCTGCTTGGAGGAGGTGGGTGAAAGGCCCGTCGCGTGGTTGGTAAGGGAATCAATGGTACGCGGCTAACTAAGAAAGGGTTGACCCGAAGCTATCGCGAAGCGACCGCGCACCTAGAGATGACGTGGGCGGGGGAGTGGGCGAAGGATATAGATATTGTCGAGGACGGTGATGGAGATGGCCGGGGGCCCTGCAGGGCAGTTTGAGATGGTAAAGTAGGCAGGCCGGCGCCTGAACAAGTGAATAGGACTCAACAGCCAACTCGCCCGGGCGGTCAACACGCAGAAGGAATTGACGATCGCCTGGTGCACGGGCCACAGTCAGGAACAGCAGGAACAGGCGGAGGGGCGGCGGCCAATCAGAGCCGCTCGCTTAGTACCCCCGACGAGGTGGGCCCTGCCCCTCGAACCTTGGACCTTGACCATCACACAACCGCATGCGCTCCGTTTCAGCCACTCTGATATTCGCGGGGCTGGCCTATATTCTGCCCTCCATGGACTTCTATAAACTTTGTGTACCCATGTGCACGATGCGCTCGACGATAGCACATCTGGCCGACCTCTAACCACACCACGGCCACCACACGCGCGTCTGCCCTTCGGTGCCATTTGGCGATAGGCCTCGCTGCGGGCATGCGCCTACTAAGAGTCCATGCACCACAGCGCACGACGTGGCAGAACAAAATACAAACACGCTCCTCTCCAGGATCCACGCTGTGCACCAATGACATCGGCACTGTATTCGATTGCGACATCTGCTGGCGCTACATGCGTGCCCCGTGCATGCGCGGAGATGACCACGGTAAACAATAGCATGATGTAGTAAACACCATGAGCATGAAATAGCAAGCAAGGATGGCTGGCGGAGAGAGGAGCACACATCGTGAGCCATCTCTTCAGACCGACAAGTCATCTCAGCTCCCTCTCCACAATCTCTCCGAGAGGCCCCCCTTCTTTACATCTCCACCGATGCGTGAGCCAGCCAATCTCCATGTCTTCGTATTTGTGTCTAGGCCCTGGGCATGGGGAGCTCGATAAGCGGCCCTCAGGATTTATACCTCGTCTCTGTCAGCACAGCAGTGCATACACATGTACATACACACATACAACACCCAGCTCACAAGCCCACCAGCGGGTCCGACACGGTGACAGCAATCGCTCATCTTACTTCGGATGCCAAGCCATACCACTGCGTCGACCCTTTATTCTACTCACCATGATTTCCTCCCTGCAGGTGTCCTGTTTGCATAATGTAATCACATGTTTCGCTATATGTATGCCTCAGGTTGCTCCGATCAATGCAGTCTCTGTAAAAAGCCGTTTGGCATGATCCGCGCACACCATAGCACCTTCTGCACCTGCAATCTACCTTTTACTTATTCCAGTCCGAGTTTCCATGCTATGTAGACTGGCCGGTTACGTCATCTGCGCAGCACGTTTTGACACGAATTCCAGCACTGCAGCCACCAACAAATATTCAATGGTCTCGGACATCAATGTTACAAACCGAGTAGTCGGTTTCAAGTTTCTGCGATTATACATCGTGACTAGGGTGCAGCGGTACAGTAGGGCGGGTGCAGCCGCATGTCTTGGCTTGGACCCTTGTTCAGATAATGAAGAAAGTTGACGAAATTGCCATCATACCCAGCCCAGTGCTCAACCCTCGCTCAAAGGCCATCAATTCCTGTGGCCTCCTCTCTCTTCATATCCGGGAGTGCCCTCGACGTCCGGATGTTTGTGATTCGGTCAGCACTGCGAGCGTCCACGAAAAGACCTCCAGCGCGCTTTATCCGCGGTCGACGCTACCCATCCATACCACGACTACGGCCTTTCCACACTGCGCGCCCCCTCGCGCAAGCAGCAAACCCCCCACCAGCTCCCAATGGCACACCCACAGATCAGCATGGCGTTGGTTCAGCGGACCGAGACAAGGCATCAGCCGCCACCGAAGACACAGCAGACGGCGCGGTAGCCGTAGAAGATCCCGACATACTAGCACAAAAACTTCAGCGGTCACGAGAGACATCGCGCAGGTACTCTGCTGCCCTGCGACGCCAACAGCGAGGCAAAAAGGCTCAGGGGCTGCCGCCCGTGCACATACCAGACTGGTTCCTAAGGTGGAGGGTAATACAGCGGGAGGACCTACCTGAAGACCCACAACCACCTACAGTTCTTTCGATCTCAGTCACACACGCTGAATCTGGAGAGCAAGCTGCATGCGTAGTACCTGCTCAGCCCGAATCAGACCCGGCCCAGCTCCTCTCGCGGTTGGTACGTGGCCTGTGGAGTCGGCGATTGGACGACAACGAGAAGCACAGAGTCGACAAGTACCTCGAGGAGATATTGGCACCGAGGGATCAGGCAGAATATCCAGCGTCACAGTCAAAGAATGATGAGGCAGTGGCGAGCACAGAAGCTGGACGCCCCGGCGACGTACCTGCTGCCGCAATCACAGACGACGGCGCTTTCACCGAAGCCTGGGCAAAGCTGAACAAGCTGCAAAACGACCCCGACATGGACCCTCGCAAGAAGATTGAAGCCATGAGAAAACAGAGTGCCAAACTTGAGATAGCTGCGAGGAAACGAGAGGTTGCCAGGACCAGGCAGATGGGCACTTCCAAACATCTATCCTCCTTAGTAGTTGCCGAAATTCGTGCCACCATGGCTGCATCTCTCTCTGCATTACAGCCAGCCGCCAGCGACTCTTTCCCTGCTGCCAAGACAAATCTAATCCTTCATTCACCTGCGCCTGAACATGAGGAATCCATCGATGCATGTGTCTTGTCTTGGGCTGTTGAGACGGGCGCTGACGTCCTCTTGTTGAATGCTCAAGATCTTGCTCAGCTCGCCGCCGACTACTTAGGCGAAGGAGCAGAGCCATCTCCGCATTCAATCAGGGCGCTGGGTTATGAAACTTATCGGCTGAATGCAGACATAAACGGCTTCGTGGCAGACGTGCAGGAAGCCGGTGCCGAAGACGAAGCAGAGTGGTCACAAGCCTCATCCGTTGAACAGTCGGATCCGAACGCGATGCGTCCTCGTGCTATACCGCTCTCTATTATTGCCCTTACACCAGCTTTGCGTGCCATGACTCAGAATTTACAAGGACTGCAACTCGGTTCGGGAAATGGATTTGGATCATCTACTGCTGCTTCAAACGAAGATTCTGGGCGTAATCAAAATCACGCTGAGATGCAATTGGAAGATCTCAAGCTGGCCGCTCTTTTGGAAACTTTGATTGATGCGAATCACATCAAGCAAAGTCGAGGTATCACCGGCAATGAGGCTCTTTACCGTGTCCGCCCTGCTAGTCAACAACAAAAATCGTCCAAAAGCCCGGCCTTCTTTGACTATTCCTTGGGCCAGGAAAGCGCCGAGCTTGATCTAAAGTCGACATTGCCAGCTGGCGCCAGAGCAGACATCAACTTAACAGTCAAGATTGGCCAGGTCTCGGAGAAACCCAGTGTTCCAGCAAATCCCAAAATTATATTTGTAAAGGACTTTAAGGAGCTTAACGCCACTCACTATGGTGGTCGCATTATTCAGCGACTTGAGGAAATTGTTCGCAAGCGACGGATTGCCGGCGAGAGCATCATGATTGTAGGAAGTACTTGTTCACGCGACCTCACGCCCGAACTGAACGCCAGGTGAGGAAATTGATTCTTGTATCTCAGTGATGAAGCTAACAGACCATAGCGGCGTCCGTGGTCTTCAGAATGAGGGCGAAAGTAGTTTCTTCAGAACCATTGTCGTGGCAGCAGAATCCGGTGGTGCCACACCAAATTTCGACGAGGCCATTGCATCTCTCGGGACCAGTATGGCGTCCTCGGCAGATATTTCGCCGTACGAAAAGATCAAATTCCGAAACATCAACCTACATCACATTCAAGATATGCTTCGTTCTTTGGATCCGTCTGCCGCTGCTGGCATCTCTGACATGGAACTGAGCATATCGAGCTTCGGCAACTGGGCGCCTATATTTTTAGAATCGCACTTCAATCGGGTGCTGACTTACGATGAAGTGCACAGAGTAGCCCTCACAGCTCTGGGTTTGCTAGTTTCGAGTCCGGCACAGAAGTCTGGGAATGCGCCAGGCCAGTTGAGCTGGGCGCATGTAGCCCTGGCCATAGGCTTGCTGAAGTCCAGTGACACTGCCAAGTATACCTTTTTCGAGAAAGTGGGCGAGATGTCAAAGCGGTCCAAGAATACGCTAAACAATATGGAAGCAAAGATTGAGCCTGACCCTGCACGGAAACGTATGGATGAAAAGGCTATGGAGCGTCAACACAACCTACAAAAAATAGCGGCTACTGCCAACAAGCATGAGAAGCGACTCATGCCTGGCATCGCAGACCCCGATCAAATCAAGACGACATTCGAGCAGGTTCACGTGCCAACAGAGACTGTAGACTCGATACGCACAATTACTTCTTTGTCGTTGCTCCGGCCTGAAGCATTTAGTTATGGTATCCTGGCGACCGAGAAGATTTCGGGTGCGCTGCTGTACGGACCTCCAGGTACCGGCAAGACACTTCTTGCGAAAGCCGTGGCAAAGGAGAGTGGCAGTTCGGTACTTGAAGTGTCTGGAAGTCAGATCATGGACAAGTACGTTGGCGAGGGCGAGAAGAACGTTGCCGCCATCTTCTCGCTAGCACGCAAACTGTCGCCATGTATTGTGTTCCTCGACGAAGCAGACGCTGTATTCGCATCAAGAGATGCAATGCGAGAGCGAGCGTCTCACCGCGATGTTCTCAATCAATTTCTGAAAGAATGGGATGGCCTCAACGATCTCTCCGTGTTCGTCATGGTAGCTACAAACCGGCCTTTTGATCTGGATGACGCCGTCATTCGTCGCCTGCCTCGCCGCCTACTCGTCGATCTGCCTACGCAAGCCGACCGCAAAGAGATTTTGCGCATCCATCTCAGGGGTGAGCAACTAGATGATTCTGTCGATCTGGACGACATTGCAAAGCGTACACCTTTCTATAGCGGAAGTGACCTCAAAAACATTGCCGTCTCAGCAGCTCTCGCCTGTGTCAAGGAAGAAAACGAACAAGCTGCCCTGGCCGCCGCCAGAGCCGCTTTACAAGAAAGCAATGACAGCACAGAATCTGGATCCAGCAAGACTGACTCTGCAGCCACTTCGTCGTCATCATCTAAGCCCCCACATCTCGTCCGTGGCCAAGTCTATAATTTCCCCGAAAAACGCACACTGCATGCCCGCCACTTTGACAAGGCGCTCCAGGAAATCAGCGCAAGTATCAGCGAGGACATGAGCAGTCTGAATGCGATTAAGAAGTTTGACGAGCAGTATGGTGATCGCAAGGGGAATAAGCGGAGGAAGGACTTTGGATTCGGTATGGCGCTAGAGCGCAACGAGAGTGCTGCTAGGGTGAGGGTGTAGAACACCCCTGTTCCTTAGGAAAAGCATGGGTAAAGGGAAAGGGAGATGGGGGGTGTTTGATGCGATATGGATTGTATGAGTATGGATATGAAAGTGTGAGGGCGGGGGCAGTGTAGTATACATGAGAAAATACTAGTATTATGATATCATACACGTTTATGTCCTGTTTCTTTTTTGTGTAGACTAAATCTATAATCGACCAGTCGAAGCATTATACTGTAGACTACTATAAACCGCTGATGCACTAGTACACTCAGATCTTACACACACGCGCGCGTTTCTTACTACCCTAAAATACACCCACCCAATCACAATCCCCTCCCCCTCATCCCATCTATTCATAGCACAAATACAACACACAGAAATCGTCATACTATCATTTCTCACCTGCTCTCTTCGCTTCCCAACCGACCCTCACCACCCGCAGCACCGCCACCCCTCCTACTCGGAAACCTGATTTCCCGACCGCGTCACTACGTATCCGGACCAACCACACCACGTGCAACTGCCCATATACTTACCACCAGGGGGTAATTCGGTATATTGTACTGCTGAGAAAAATAACTCGGCAGATCTTCAGTCCGAGTGCCCATTGAGTAACTTGCCCAAGTTTCGCTGCAGGAAATGAAGCGGTGTAGCGCCACTCTCTGTCACACCACTCTGCATCATACCCGCGTTTTACCAGCGCGGTTAACTTCTTTGCGATAGAGCACGCACAAGGCTTTGTGAACAGCGAAATGCGTCGCAAGTATTCTATGCCTGATGGAAAAAAAAGATTGTTTGGAGGATGGGGCGGTGGGCTCAGCTGTGAGCTGAGAGCTGAGAGCTGAAACGCTGCGGGATGGGGGGTATAGAAGGCGGCTGAAGGAGGGTGCAACGGCTGTATGGGGGTTGGGCTCGGGTGTTAGCGTGATGGATATCTTGGTTAGGTAAGGGAAGAGGGTGTTTGTCTTGATGGATGTTAGGCTGTTGGGAGAGGCTGTTAGTATCTTTCTGGTAGTAGGAGGCTGAACTACGTGATTATTGTTTTTCTGACATGCGCGTCCGATGCGCTCCTACTATGCAACGTGCGCCAAGGAGAGATTCATATCTGGTTGCTTGTAACATGGAGTTATGATGGTGGAGTTATTACTTGTTAGAGTAGGAGGCTAGCTGTTGTTTTAGTAGGATTTTAGTAGGACAAGCGAGCGTGCATCAGTCCGTTACGCCCGTCACTCGTGGCATGCAGCGGCATCAACATTGCATGTAACGGTACATCACGCCATGTACTCTGAGTTCAGAGCTGCATCTTGGTATTACTGAGATGTTTGTAATGCCAAGATCCTTGCTTGTAGTCTTTGGATGAGCCGAAGCGAGATAAGAGTATTCTAACGATGCTTTCGGTTAGTTTGACTGCAATTCACGTGGTGTTGTATGGACCCAACATCATACAATGTTAAATCGTTCAAGCTGATGGCTGGGTAGAGCTGTTAATGAGCACCACAGGATTCTCGGATTGCAACCACAGATGTAGACTCCATCAAGGCAACATCAGACCACTGCTGAAGCAAAAGACCTTTATGGTAGGTGCCAACGCTCATCCTTTAGTGTAAACCCACTTTGATCTCTGGACTAGCTAAAAGTGCATTAGATACAATCCAAGTGTCATGTTGTATACACCTTCAGTGTGTAGCTGAGCCCTTAGGAGACGTAGCATATCAGCACTTTGCCTGTATTGGAGAAAACAAGTCTCACAAAAGAGGAATATGGTAGTAGGGAACAAAAGTGCAAGCAGACTCAATACGTTTGAGCTGAAACCCCAGCGAATATAAAGCTTCCTTACATCTTCATCTGAACTTCCAGATCATCATCTACCGCTACAACATCTTCCATTCCACCAAGCTCTATCTACTGCAAAATACCAGCTAACCAACACCGGCACCATGAAGCTAAGCACGTCTATTCTTTCCATTGCTGGCCTCCTCGCCACCCACGCTGCCCCCGCCGTCGCTGGGAAGTACGAACAAGCAGTCTCCTTCGCCACTTTTAGTTCCACAGGCTGCAACGGCGGACAAACCGACTACCTCGTTTCCGATGGAGTGTGCAGAGGTCTCCCAGGCAAAGGTCTCAAACTGTGGTGGAAGCAACCCGGATGCGAAAGTTCGTGATTATAATCCTCTTGTTGAAAAAGGAACCCAAAAGGAATATTGCTAACGATATTGAAATAGTTCGAGTTTTCACTGGAAACAACTGTGACGGCGATGCTGCAAACTTGGGTATCATTGATCGATGCTGGGATGTTTCTTTCCGGTATTCTTACCAGGTCTACTGTTAGACAGGGCAGTCACAGAATTAGGGATAGTGGGGCCACCGACCGAAATTTATCTGCGAAAGCTTTTCCCCGCTGAGTATCGGTCTTTTGCGATTCCGGTTTTAGCGAGGTGGTTACAACAAAATGGTGTAAGTGGAGGACAGCTTAGATCTATCATGTCCAACCTGTTGTCGCTCATTATGCCATTTGAGGTGATAGAGGGAATGGTTTGTTATGTTTGGAATTTGTCACTCGTTTGGATACATATAGAAAGTTAGAAAATTGATGCATAAAATAGATATTTCGCTACATCAACTTGCTGACCCTGTATGCGAATCATCAGCGATGTCGACTGAGCCGCCACCAATGCCTAACAGCCTACCGTGTTAGTGGCAAGTCCTAAGAGCGCTGGCGGCCTCAATGAGTTACAACATATCTGCGAACGTGTTTTGCCTAACTAGTCAGCGTTATTCCGGCCCATAAGTCCCTCGGACAAGGATAATCAAGCCAATCGCAGTCACTATATTTCTAAACATTACCACCTAGCTCGCAGACCAAAGAATGATCACTTTAGGGAAGTATAGGACGCTTTTGGTTGGCATAGAGACTTTTCGCTACCATGTTGTAATTAGTAGCGCAAAATACGTTTGCAGACATGGTGCATATAGCAAGACTGAATTCTCAACCGCTTTATTAGCTTCGCCCGACGCCTCATTAACGACGAATTCAGGTAGGTAACATACGTTAAGAGATTTAGGAAGTGTTCATCGTCTAGACTAACATGTGTGTCATAATCAATCTTAGGCGAGCAAACAAAACAGAAACCGAGGCCATGCCTCCCATAGAACTAAGAATTACGAAGAATGGACTACGTATTCTGCTTGAGATCTTTCATCTAGAATTCTATTCTCTCAAGTCACATAAACTATCGGATGTAGTCCTCATCGCCATCGACTTCGAGGGTATCAACACCATCCAGAGTGGATTTGCTCAGAAGAAGGATTGCCAAGTTGGCCTCGCCATTCTCGATACGAAGGGAATCCACGAAGTATCGCCAGACAAGCTTATATCGACGTATAACTTTGCCACGGGATCTCCCTCGTACCTGAAAAAGGCTTCTGAAAAGTTTATCTTTGGTGATACAATCGCAATTTGTCCATCAGATATCGTAGATGGCATTCAATTCCTCATCCCCCTAGGTCGGAATATAGTGTTTGTAGGCCATGGAATCATCAACGACCTCAGTGTTTTACGCGCTCTAGATTTCCAGTCTCCAGCACTTCTCTCGGCTGTTTTAGACACTTTCCAAGTAGCAAACGAGGTCTTTGAGTTCTGGGCCGGTTCTCTCAGCGAGTTACTGGTTTTACTAGGCTGTTCCTTTAATCGGTTCCACTGTGCCGGGAACGACGCAAATTTCACGCTGAAAGCTTTGCTTCTTCTGGCTGCCAAAGGGTATACTGACCGATGGTGGGAGCGGGAAGGGGATTATGACACGCTCGCTATCTTACAGCAAGTTTCAAAATGCCCGATTTCGCATTGGGTGGACCCAGAGGTGAGGGCGATGGAAGAAAGAGAAAAGAGGAGGGGAAGGAGTCGGAAGTACCAGTCGAAGTTGTGGAGTAAGGAAGAGCAGGAACGAATCCGTGCAGCGAGAAAACTTAAAAGGGAGGGTATCACGGATATTCTGTTCTAAGTAAACAATAGATGATACCATCGTTAGTGCGCGTTAAGTTAAACGAAATAAGTTTACCTGTTATCTCACTTGGAGCCGTTGTATCATCATCTCTAATAGATTTAGTCTTGAAGTTGCGCAACATACGAAGGCGCGGCAAAGACCTACCACCACGTCCATGTACAACTTTCATCGTAGGCAACGCTCTTAACTTCCTTACAAGTTTCCCTTATACCAAGTAAAGTACACATTCTTACCAAAGCACGTTATTAATCCCAACATCACTCATACTCAGGAATCGACCTCGATCTTATCTCATTAAGCACATCACTAATACCTTAATCTTAGCCTAGGCAGCTACATACTACTAGTGCGAAGCGTTAATAGCCAGCTAAGGTGGCTATGTCCTCCCCAATGCAATTACTCAATCAAGCCTAGCTCCGCCCCATCGCCACCCCCGCCCCACTATGACTACCTCTCGTCCCACCACGTAAATATAATACCAGGGATATTTCGGTATATAGATGGAAAGAGCCAGTTACATGTCCGTCGGATAATTAAGACCAGGACTTTGCTGCCGAAATCTGCAGGTAGAGTATCTCTTAAGTGTGTGTGGAGAGGAATGGGCGGGACGAGTGGCGTTGTGGCGGGGGCGATCAAGCTTGTGGGGGGGCTGTGTTGGGCAGGTTTACGTGAGTATGAAGGCATCTTCGCCACAGTCTTGGGGGTGTTGGGACGAATCGCATCAGTGTGTGCCTGGGGGCTTGTACGTCTAAAAAAAGAAAGATGGGTATGAGGAGAAATGGGGCTTGGGGGGAGAGGGTTTTGAAATAGTTGTTGGGGGTACGCAAATATTGCTTTCTGATCTTTTTTTCGCTCGACTTGATTGATTTGAAGCGTATATTCTTTACCAAAAGGCTGAAGTGGACAAAATATTGGGTATGAAGACGGCGTAGTTGGAATCTTTTTTTTCTCTCTTTTCCCTTTTTCCTTTTCGTCTGCGATACGACACTCGCTACATCTCATACATGCACTCGCTACGAAGATGGTTCTTTACTCTTCTTGTTATTGTGGGAAACGGAGTCGTAGATGGAGCCGTGGTGCCAGCGCCGCCTAGTATCACGGCTCCACCACGGTTACAGGAAAGACAGGATATTGATGCGTAAGAACACTCCCTATTCATCTCCCACATACACACATTAATATTTCCATATCTTAATGGAAATGGGTTGCTAACAGAATGAGTAGTATCGACTTCGTCAAGATCCTCATCACCGCCCTCCCCCAATCACTACGCCAAGTTGCTGCCACAAATGTGCCCGCTGTATCGAGTATACTCTGGACTGAATTCCTGGACAATAATCGACCGCAGTGGTTTCGAGAGTTGCCGGTCGAGGTGCAGAGTTATCTTATTGAAGCGTTTGGCCCTAAGACAGCGGCGCCACCCGAGAGTGGGAGTGTGCCGACTAGTGTGCCGGCTTCTGTGACGAGGACGTGGCAGAGTGTGGTTACAGAGACGGAGGGGTGGGTGACGAGTACGACTGCGACGGCGTCTACATCGTCCAGGTTGGAGAGCGAAAGTGGGACGAGTACAACTGCAGTGTCGAGCCAGCCTACGATTCGACCATCTTCATCTTCGTCAGAGCGGTCATCCTCATCGACTTCGACTTTACCTATCTCTAGCTCAACCTTCTCCTCCTCATCAACACCCACAACCTCAACTTCATCTCCCTCCACCGCAACACCAACCAGCACCCCCTCCGAACCCCCCGCTCCACCGCCCACTCCCTCCGGCCTCACCTCCAGCCAAAAACTCGCCCTCGGCCTCGCCCTCCCACTAGGCTTCCTCTCTCTCTCCGTCCTCCTCCTCTCTTTCTTCCTCCTCCGGCGCCACCGTAAAAGAACCCTCGAAGGAAGCCAACCCCCCTCCTCCCCCGGCTTCATCCCGCGCTTCTCCTTCCAACAAGGCCCCTCGGACAGCGCCACCTTACCACTAACCTATCACTACACGCGGGGCACCGAAGACTACCCCTGGGAGGACCCGTCAGACATGTACGACAACTACCCTGAAACTCCCGCAATGGTTGGGAGAGAAGATACACATACGCCCATGGTAGCGCCAGCACTATGTCACAGTCACTCTTCGAATCGGGCAAGAGGGAGAAGAATTAGCGGGTCGAGCTTGCATTCTGTGGCTGAAATGAGGGAGCCTGGGGAGGGCGTTGGAGGGGCTGAGGTGGAGTCGCCCGTGTTGGGGCGGTATGCGCATCGGAAACGGAGTTTTGGTGGTGGGAATAGAGAGGTGGGGAGGAGGAATAGCATACTACGGAAACCGGTTCCCACACCCAGTGCAATGGAGGATGTACCAGTGAACGATGCGAGCGATACATCGGTTCATCGCCCTACATTGGCGGTTCCGAACGCGGCAGGGCAGTATAGTGGGACGGGAAGCAGTTCGTCTGGTCTCGCGGTGTCGAGTTTTTCTTCAATGTCGTTGGACGCGTATTTGGAAGATTATGGGCCGGAGTATTATTATAAGGGTGGGGGATATGGCGGATACTATGAGCAAAAGCAGGATGAAGATGAGAATGTGGGATGGAAACAAGGGGAGAGAGCGGAGAGGGGATGGAATAGTGATATGACAGATTGGCCGTTGAGGAATTGATACCACCGGGCATCTTCGCGTCTGAGGTTTTGGTACGATATTTTTGGGCGGCGACGAGGACTTATACGACATGATGATGGACGTACATATACCCCTTTTCTTTTCTGCATGTATACGATTGTAACGATTTAGTCAATTGCTTGTAACAATAATCAAATAAATAGTAAGCAATGTCCAGAGATGATGCTCCGAACTACCGCATGTGCGGTAAATGTGCAAAGTTGACTCGCTATATCTTGCTTGGAGTAATGTACAGAACACCTCTTCCTCTCTTTCTCCACATGTGTAGAGTTTACTCGGCAAAAAAGTCACTTGTGTGCCAAGCGCATGGTACAAACGCACATGTTCCCTGTATTCCGACATTATATGGGTGAGGAAATGCCATGGTCATGATGATTAAAATCCCCCGGGTCGCCGTGCAAAAAGGAACTTAGTCGTGGAACTTTCTGTTCTCATTCTCGCCAAAGAGCGTGACCCTGATGGATGGCAATGCCTGGGATTCGAGCAGCTTGAGTCGTTCTTGGAAGGTGTTGTTGATGTCGATCTTGCCGTTTGTGCCGACAATAATGGCACCGCCAGCGCTGTTTGGACAAAATTAGTTATAGACCCGGATGAATCGGACATGGCAACTTACGATCCCTCGGGCAATGGGTCGCTCTCGTCAATGGTAATGGCAACGTCCTTGCTCAGATTCTTCTTGAACTCGGTCTGAGCCTCTTCGATGGCCTTCTTGGTCAGATCAATGTCTGCCTTGCGCACCTTGACCTGCAGCTTGTCCTCGTTCAGAGCATACGCGCCCTCGAGAATGAGGTTCTTCAGGATAGACTGGTACTTGTTCTTGTCCTTGGAAATATCGGCCAGCTTCTTTTCGGCGTCCTCGAATAGGCGGTTGAGCAGCTCCTGGCGGGCGGACAGAATGCGTAATCGGCTCTTGTTGGAGACGGTGGAGCGGGTGATTTGCTGTGACATGCTGGCCTGCTTGAACTTCTTCTCGTACGAAGCGTCGATGGAGGCCTGCTCCTGGCGCACCAGCTTGGACTTTTCAATGGCGAACTCCTCATCGGCCTTGAGACGGATCTCGTTTGCCTTTTCCATGGCCTCCTGACGGATGAAGGCCGTCATCTTCTTGAGCTCGCCGGCGACCTGCCATGGGAGGCTTGTTAGCATGGAGTGGTGTTGACGTAGGTGGGGAGCTCTGGAGCTGCCTGGAGCTGCGGCGGGCATCATACCTGGTCGTCGGAGAGGGCGTGGACTTGCGACATGATGGCGACGGCGGTGGGGGTTCGTCGGTGGTGGTGGAGGGGTATGTGGGCGTGGGATCTGGCGATGGAGTTGGAGTCGTCGGGCGGTATGGGCAGTGACGGAGCTTGGACAAGCTGCTCGAGGTGCATGCGCTGGGCCCACCAATTGGCGATAGCAGCCCCAGATGCTGCCCGCCCCCACTAGCCACACTGGCTGCACTAGCCACACCACTAGCCACGGCCGCCACACGCGCAGCCACAGCGCGTCTCCCACTGACTGCGACGCCATCGCGCGTTCGAACCGGTCCCATGTCGCGCCAGTAAGCATTTCTTATTTGTCACTTTCTGCGTTTGTTTCTTTGCCCAGCTATCGTTCGGTGCACACACACTCCTCGTCGCGCCAGCTTCCTAACCCGCTTCTCTACATACATCATCAGTCGGCTGACCCCTGCCACACCCACCAGCTAGCCCTCCACCCCCCAACTTCACCGACTCGACAGCGTCACGTTTCGCGAACACGTCCACATCTACGCTGCCACCGCCCGCTGCGCTCTCCCACTCTCTTGTTGTTCTCCGTCCCCCATTCCTCGTCCTCCGCTCGCACAGCATGCGCCACACCCCCAGGTAACACAGGTGCAGTCACCGACAGCAGCCAACAGACACAGTCATGGTCGGAATGTCGCCGGGCGCGAGCGTTGCTGTGAGTCTTGCGCCAGAAATTTAGATCTGCTGACTAACCCCTCCATAGCTGGGAGTAATCGTCGGCCTCGCCTCGACCAGCATCCAGAGTGTCGGCCTTACACTCCAGCGCAAGTCGCATCTCCTCGAGGAAGAAAAGGACGACGATGACGAAAGACGGCCACCCTACAGGCGACGGAGATGGCAGGCACGCATACTCTCCCCCGCACACACAACCACTTTGCTAACCCCAGATAGCTGGGCATGCTCATGTTCCTCGTGGCAAATATTGTCGGCAGCACCATCCAAATCACCACCCTCCCCCTCCCCGTCCTCTCCACTCTCCAGGCTTCTGGTCTCGTTTTCAACTCGATATGCGCCTCCATTATCCTGAGCGAGCCCTTTACGCGCTACTCGCTCGCCGGCACACTGCTCGTCGCCGTCGGCGCATTGCTCATAGCCCTCTTTGGCGCCATTGCCGAGCCGTCGCATAACCTGGACCAGTTATTGATTTTACTGGGACGAACCAACTTTCTCATTTGGATGAGCATGACGGGCGTTGCTGTGGTGATCTTGGTTACCGCCACCTGGGTCCTCAAGCGCATTTATCCCCGCACCACTCCCAGACTACGCCTGATACGAGGAATGGCCTTTGGATGCGTCAGTGGCATTCTCTCTGCGCATTCGTTACTTGTAGCCAAGAGCGCCGTTGAACTGTTGGTCCGCACAATCGTGGATCGCCACAATGAGTTTAATCGTTGGCAGTCTTGGATGATCCTAATTGGATTAGTCGCATTCGCCCTGACGCAGCTCTATTACATGCACTGTGGACTCAAGTTGTGTAGCACTAGTGTCCTCTATCCTTTGGTCTTTTGTGTCTATAACATCATTGCCATTATAGACGGATTGATATACTTTGACCAAAGCGACCGACTGTCCAGTCTCCACGCTGGGCTCATCGCACTCGGTACCATGGTCCTTCTTGCAGGTGTTGTCTGCTTGAGTTGGCGTCTCGAGGACAATGAGGAAGAACCAAGGTCGCCAATAGCGGTCAAGGTGGGTAGGATTCCCATGCCCAAGACGGTGCTTCAACCTGGTATCGGCATATCGCATACTCATATCCTCGACGACCCGGCATCACCAATGCTCACTGACGAGGAAGCTGGAGGAGACCGTGGCTACTTCTCCGCGCACACCAAACGTAAATCTGTCGACGAAACAACACCACTGCTAGCCCGAGCACCGGCTGGTCCTGCTCGGCCCCTATCCAATCCCAAGAAGCGATTGTCACTAGATACTGCAGCCCTACACGCAGCCCAGGCCAACACCCGTCCTCACAAGCCTTCACGAAGACGACGCTTGACTATTTCCGAGGAAACACACGAAATATGGGATGAGCTCAATGACCGCGAAACTTTACCCTCACCTGCAATCCGATCCGTGGATCTTGATCATAGGCCAAGGTCAGGCACGTTGCCGCCACGACGAAACAAGGCGCAATCTGCTTGGCTCAACCAGATGCGCCGAAGATCTTGGTTTGAAGGCCTTGCCCGGCAGACCAGAAGCGTATCCCAAGGGAAGAGACCCGCCGACCCTGCTTCGTCTTCGCCATTACTCTATCATCCCGACCCAGAAGATGGCGATTTGTCAGATGCAGACCTACCCGATGCCTCCCGAGCAAGGAGGAGTTGGGCATATAGCTCGGAAAATAGAAGCCAAGATGCATTGAGCGACTGGTTCAAATTGAAGTGGCTACGCGGTAAGTGGAAAGAGGAGGGTGGCGAGGAACAGGATAGAAGTGGACAAGAAGAAGGACGGCATTCTTAATGGCCATTTCTTTTGTACAGTAAATACAATGATATCAGATTGAATTCCATAATTATCGCTCGCCGGGGTGAATGGCGTGTTTTAGGGGAAGGGGATGTTCGGTATGTTCACGAAGACTAGACGATGTCGATGTTTGCTTAGAAAGTATGTTCTTTTAATCGTTTGTAATATTTAAAAAGATTCAATGTTGAAAGGAGATGGTTGTAATTGTATCCAGTGTGTTGAACCGAGAACTTGATACATGAAATTATGCAAAATATCTCACTAGTGCTCGCAATTCAGAGCCTTCTGTAGCAAAGTTGAATCTTCGAATTTCAGACGTTGTAAATGTATCTGAACAATGGTTTCCGCAACACTCGAACTCATCATGCTTTGTCTTAACCCCCAATTCCCCCAGAAGACCGCGTAAGCCTGAACGCCACAGAGAGACGGGAGGTGGCATTGGTAGAATCGGATCTTCCGGTAATATTTTGATCACGGATTCCAGGCGTGTGCTACGTCGGCGATACTCGTTGTAAACTTTACAACCTGTAATCCCTGGTCCCTCTTTGACCCGTTGCTTCTACTATATCTTAATGACATAGAACAGGCTCAAGCATCAATGAAATATTGACCAGGCTATTACTCTTATGTCTTCAATCTTCGTCTATGTATTCACAAAACATTTCAAGAACATATAAAAGGTATCTTTAAGATCCTATACCAACTTTCTCCAACCCCACAAAGACTTATCAATTTAAATTTTAGTAGAAGAAAGTGTGAGAATACCTTTCAAACCCTTATCATCACGCGCAGACGCCTTTCATCATACTGATTTGACTAATCTACCACTTGTTACTTCGGCAGGTACCCCATCCCCCTTATATATTTCTGTCGTATGTGGCTGACAATAGTACGTTGCAGGATGCTTACTGCGCAAAATAAACATTATAGAGTTTCTTACTCATAACACGGTACCCTTGACTTGTTGGTGGACCGGAATACTCGGATTAAAAAAGAAAATGTACAACGAGCAAAACAGCGCAGTGTCAATGAGGTGGAACTGTATACCAGCACTCTTGAACGATACATGTTTTTCTCATAGTCCCTTCATGTACGAATGGAATCTTCAATTGCCTTGTAGAGGTGCCTATTCACAAATGGCAGCTTCATTCTAATATAGGCTTTTCTTACCCCGGTAACATCTTCCGTCCACCAAGAGACATACCCTTCCTCCTACTTACCTCCCTCATAACCCCCTCAAACCCGTCTCTTCCCCGCGCGAACACCCCCCTCATCCCGCGCCCCCTCTCTTCCGAAATGTAATCGCTCGGTTATATGTGCCATACTATAAACTCTCATCTTATACTAGGTATCCTGTCCATTTCATTACGCGCATTCTGCACTGCAGCTAAGCATCCAGCAGATCCCGCTATCCACGACAACGCAGAACAATGACGCAGATAGTGTGCGGACTCGACGAGGTACTAATATATTTCAATCTCGCTGCGCCTCACCTTCTACACTCCGCTCAAACCATCATTTCAAAAAATCATCGCGTGTTCTGTTAGTTCAGGAGAGCCAGAAAGGTCCAATCGTTTAGTAGCGCTTTGCATGGATGAACCTTTGGCGGAAAGACTCTGAGCGCATAACGGCGCGGAAACTAGTTCGGTATCAAACTACCGATGTAAAAGCGGAGATGGACATTTGCGACGGATGAGCAAGTAAGTGGCAGAGATTTACTCTGGTAGAGCGGGGGAATTCGAGGCGAGATGGTGCAAGGGGAGGCGGGGGATGAAGGGTAAGTAGTTAGTTATGTGTAGAAGCGGGGAAACTTGGGCGAGGGGTGGCGGGTATTTGCGTTTGGTTGGATATCCTTTTTTTCTTTGGAATAGAATCGCGATTTCTTGAGGGATGACGTTGTAGAACGGGTGAGATTCTTCTTTTATTTTCTTCTCTATTCCTGAGGGACGGGGAGCGGGTATGAATGCTTCTCTTGGACTAGTGTGGGTTGGCGGACGCGTAAGATGCTGCTTTCGTTAACCGCAGGGGAGATGGACAAAGATATGTGGGGTTATCGTTGTAGGGGCCTGTTCGGTTGCGCGGTTGCGGTTTGCGGTTTTCGTTTTTATTACTGAATTTGAGCTACGCTTAACCGAACACGGGATTGTTTTCAAGATCTAGCCCAAATCCAGTAATAAAAACGAAAACCGCAAACCGCAACCGCGCAACCGAACAGGCCCTAGGGCATTTTTCAGTTATGCAAGTGCGATTCGTTAGACATGGCGATCCCTACTTGAATATACAAACCCTGCGTCTATAGTGGCTTTTAGTGCAGCTTCCGATTCATGCGGCTGTTGGGGCGGAGATTTTTTAGTGTGGGTAGTATTGGAGTTTTTCTCCAAGAAAATCATGTAGCTGGTAGTATATTTGTTTTATATTATGGACAACGATGGCAGACTTCAATCCATATTGAGCCTGTCGCCGCTTACAGCTCGCGACGAGGTGTTCCGTTAACCTTGGAAATCTTGAAGCCTCCAGGAGACTGGGTTTGGAACATGCCGATTGGATCGTACTTCTTCGCCGCCGCACGGATCTTGGCAACGTTATCAGCGCCGAAGCCAGCAAGTGGGTTCTGTTCATGGATGTTAGTTGAATATTTCTTGTCATTATATCGGAAAAGGGGATTCTATGTAGTTACCTGGTAAGAATCGGCGTAGTTGAGGTATTGCCAGTCAACCGCGCCTCCCTGACTAGCGGCAAACGCCTGGAATTCTTCGGTATACTTCCTCAGCAGTGTACGAGCAGCAACCTCGGTTTCAGCACCCTTGACGGCAATATTGAACAAGAGCATGATGGAGTTTGCGCCAATGTGCTCAACACCGAGAACGTTACCACCTCGCTCAGCGCTGTGCTTAGCAAAGACAGTAGGAATGGCCTGGAACATGCACTGCGTGATGAAGTCCGGGTCAGAAGTAGTCGACTTCCACTCGTTGACGAACTTCTGGTGACCATCGACAATGTGCTTGAAGATCGTGGGATTATTCTTGAAGTTCATAGTGAACCAGATATCACTTGAAGTAGTCAGTATAGACTCCCTTTGTTAGTTAGTTTCTCAACATACCGATACCCAGCGGCTTGCTCGAGCTCGTCAGTGAGGCTCTTGTGGCTAGCCAGCCTCATAGTGGAGGACTGGGATGGGATAGCCAAAAACTTGTCGAATCCTGCGGGTGCCACATTGCCGGCCGTATCTTCATACGCAGCAAGAATAACAACATCTTGAACAGTGGGGAGGTAGCTCCAGAAGATGATACTGGAGCCCTCAGGGTAGTTCTCGACATTGTCAACCCAGGCGGTGTAAGCATCAATTTGCGCCTGAGTATAGTTCTTCGAATACGACATGGTACCACCCCAGAGGTTGCCCTGCTTGAAGGTCTCCATGTCGAAGCGAGTGACAATACCAAAGTTGGAAGATCCACCCTTGAGAGCAAGGAATAGGTCGGAGTTGCACGTGGCATTTGCATCCACAACCTCACTACGTCGGGTTAACACAAATATGAAATGTAGAGGCTAAGTGTACTGACCCGCTAGAAAGAACGATTTCAAAGTTCTTGACTTGGTCACAGCCCCAACCGCGCTGAGCAGTGAAGAAAGTGTTGCCTCCTCCAGTCAGGAATCCAGCAACACCGACAGTGCTGGCACGACCACCAGCAACAGTGACTCCATAAGGTTCAAGAGCTGCATAGACGCCTCCCCACCTGATACCAGGCTGGATCTTTGCAAGGCTGCTGGCCTCGTCATAGGTGGTCTGGTTCATAAGACCAAGGTCAATCGTTACTCCGTTGTTGATATTGTTGGAGCCGGCCCACGTGGTGTGACCACCACTTCGAGTAGCAAATGTGCATCCTGGGTCAGCACCCAGAACCTTGATGGCGGTAGCCACCTCTGCGGTAGAGACAGGCTGGACGATGCACTTTGGCTGCAGCTGAGCACTGACAGACCAGTAGGAATTCGTCCGGTCCTTGTACTGTTGATCATCTTGCATGTAAATGTGAGTCAGGTTAGCACTCTTCAGGGCTGCACACTGTTGAATAGCGTTAGTGGTACTGTGACTTTGACCCATGGTGATGGCAAGGTAGTTAGAAAGGTGATTGAACTCACGCAAGTCGAAGGATCGGTGCTCATGGCCACTGAAACATCTTTCCTTAGCCCCAAGGGACGTGCAGCAGCAGCTCCAACCTCCTCATACAGGCCCATGAGGGCAACCAACGTTGAAGTAACGGTCTTCATGGTGTAACAACGGAGGGGACTTGGCGCGTTGAAAGACGAGGATGTCGAACCGTAACGCTGGGTTAGGACGATGCAGACGTATTAATGACTACTGGAAGATGAGCACCCTACAGCGCGGATGACGGCAAGCGACGGCAGGCCATTGCAGGAACTGTACATCCAACATCCCTACACATAAACTACTCATGTTGCTCTACTACGCCAGGTATAGTGGCTGATGATTTTTTTCCTGCAGCGGCTGGTGGGAGGCAGCTCTGGCGCCACCCCTGAGCGAACTAGAGCCGCAAGTTGGTCTGGAGAATATTGGCCTCTGATGAAAATGACAATGATTGTCGGTGATGAGGGTGGAGGGTCAAGCTAGCTGCTATCGAGACCCGCTCCGCCCCCACAAGACGGACCGAATGACGGTCCGTTTGGATGGGACTGGCTAGCTCCGGCATGACCCGCCAAGGTACGTAGGCTGGTGTCAGTCTGTCTCTACCGCACGTATTGGCCGGACGAACGCATGTTACCCCAAGCCCCTAGTCCCCGAATGTCAACCTTATGTATAGGCGAGGGAGGGAACTAAGACCAGGGTCGGGGAGGCTACACATGAAAATGTCCCGCGATCCTTGGGTTGCAATGAATTTATGGAGATCGCGCGCATTGAATTTGCTCGTTACGTGTTCCACTGCTTGACCTCTCCTGCTCCATCACTGACGGCGACCATGTCAGGGCTCCGGGTGAGATTCTGTCTCACAACAGTTCTTGACCCATTTTGCGGGTCTCCGTCTCCATAGTAAAGATGACAAGATTATTAGACTGATGGTCAAAGCAGTCAGAATGCCATGCATTTCTCGCAGTTCGCGTGGTTTCGTAGCGGCCCTCGTCAATAAGATTGGCCGATGTCAAGGTATTCGGTGCGATTGCAACGGATTATGCAACGTCCCACTACCCTATTCCGCGCGTGTCTCGGGAATCCGTGCAAATTTCCCTCGCGAGCCTCCGAGTAGTCACTCCAAAAGGATGGGCAAAGCTACTTCCATATAGAGATTGAGTTGAGAGGACCACTGGTTCACGCTCATCCCCCATATCCCCCCATATGATAAACGAGTGGCTCTCCACCTCAAGGGCTCACAACTTTGTCTTCATCAAACTATCCATTTCTCAGTCTTTGCTACATCATGGCAAATGTAAATGGAGTCATGACGATACTCCCTCCTCCCGAGGGATATGTGGTCGACTTTGACAACCCTCAAAGGAGGTTGACTACGGAGGCATATGCACTCTTCATCGTTGAGAACATTTTAGCATTCATTTTCCTCGCCCAACGACTTTTCACAAAGATTCGTCTGATGAAACAGTTCCAGATTGATGATGGTACCTATCCAGACACACTTTGACTTTGGGAAGATACTAACTATAAGCAGTGTTTGTCATTCTCGCGTGGATGTTTTCAGTCGCAACACAAGCCTTGTTGATTCAAGGCTTCGCTTCGGGAGTTATTGGCGTACATGCTTGGGAAATTTCGATCGATCAGTACGGCTATTACTCAAGAGTAAGTGAGAACTGCCTAGTTCTGTCAGCATACATATGAACTTTGCTGACATTGTCAAACCATAGCTGATTCTTGCCGCCCCCCTGGTTTACGCCCCTTGCTGTGCCCTGACCAAAATCACATTGTGCATTTTCTACAGTCGTTTATCGCCAGTTCGAGGCTACCAGATCGCGGTCTGGTCAACCGTATTCATATGCGCTGGCGCATATACAGCTATCTTCTTCAGTCTGATATTTGCATGCAAACCGATAGCGGCTAGCTGGGATCCACTGTTGCTTCCGATAGCAGTCTGCACCAACCGAGGAGGAATCTATATCGCAACCGCTGTCATTGGTATCGTCACTGATGTGATACTAATCGCCATCCCAATCCCAACCATCTGGCGCCTACAAATGCCCAGGAAGCAGAAGATTGGCCTGACCATCATCTTCGGTATTGGATCAATGTGAGTACATTGTTAGAGTAATGAACGTACAAGAACGAGCTGACATGACAAAGAACTATGGTCACTTCAATCATCCGCTTGGTTGTCCTGATACCAGCATTGACGGATCCTGATCAAACATGGATAATTGCCGTGGGCTGTGTGTGGATGTAAGTACACTGTTCCTATCAGACGAGACTATCCTGTCCATTCCGTTGTCTGACACTATCTCCAGCATCGTCGAGGCGAACCTCTTCATCATCTGCTGTTCCCTGCCCACCCTGCGACGATTCTTCAGACACGTTGCACCGCACCTGATCGGCGAGAGCTCTCGCGGATCTTCAGGAAAAGGTTCATCCGGCCAAAACCGCGCGTTACACTCATGGAAGAGCTCCAGGAGCGGCCCGAAGCGCCAGTACGATACCCTTATGAACACCGTTGATGGCGGCGGCGACAAACACGATGACGAGATCCCCCTTTCTGGTGTCACGGCCAAAGAGTCCACGCAAACGCGAGAATCCAAGGCACAAGTCGGGTCACGCCCATGCAAGGACAGCGACAGCGAAGAAGCCATATTGTACGAGCGGACTGTTGAAGTCACTTACGAAGGCCTCCCCGTCCCCAATCCACCCAATCCTCGTGACAACAAGGCTTGGACAGGTGGTCGCGGCCGAGTGTCAGAAGTTTGAGTTTGGGATTTTGCACGGAGTTCGTATTACGATTTGTACAGCACCAATTTGCTACTCAGTTACGCTCGCGTTATGATGCTTTCACGATCACAAAAAAGAATGATACCACAGCTACGATGCTTTTTTCCAATATTCACACGTACTGCGTAAAAACTGGCTCTCTCTCATCAGTGGACGAATGCCGTGATCTCGAGCATCGCACCCAAAGAGGCCATAGCAATGCTGACTTCTCGGCAATTCCATCGGGCTCGTAGCGACACGCCAGTGATTGACCGAGGTGCGAGATGTGATCTGCTTCGTAGCGCGATGGCACAATTGTAGCCCCGGCTCACTCGGGAGGACCAGGGGTTCGGGCATGTCACTCGTTCTTGCGCACTGATACTCGCCCAAGCTTCTCACTACGTTCGCAAAAGAAGATCATCATATTCAGGGCTGAAACTTGTCTTGAGCGACGGCTTTCGCCTCGACTTTCTTTTTTTCTTTTTTCTTCCTGTTGAAGGAAGATCGTCGTCCGGTACTTCTGCAATAGGGCAAAAAACTGCCCAGCTTGTAGACTCGTACGAACTTTGTCCTATCTGCCAAGAATGTCGGCAGGTAATCGACGTTGGGTTCTTGCTGACATGAGCGGCTGTACAGCCCCGATCAAGTGATAGAATTTATAGGTTTGGATAAGATCGGATTTTCCCCCGCTTCTTTGAATCTTAAACGCGGCAGAGATGATGGCACAATGATCGCATAACCTGGTCGCGCTGATGGCATGTCCATTGTCCTGGAAAGTAGAGGGGTTAGATACGTAGCGATGGGTGAAGAAAATATCATTTGTCAAAATGATTTGGAAACCTCACGCGGTTTGTTCGAGTCATTTCCATTCTTTCATGAAGATGCTTTACTTTGTTTGGTTTTACGTGCAGCATACGAAGCGAAATTGACAGCAGCGCTCGCGCAATGTCGATCAATCGTCGATCAACTAACACTTTTCTGATGTAGTTCAGGCTCGCTACGTGGACTGATGTGGTATCTGGCAGGTGGCCGATACTATCCTCTAGGTAAAGATCAGAAGCCCAGCTAGATCGTCATTCGGCTATGGGAGAGAATGGCCCGGTTCATTGTCGGGGCGGTTTGATACAAACTAATGCAGGTGTCAGTGGGAAATCATAACGAATATGGAATCCTCCCGCGTCTTGTCGTTGTTGGAGAAGCATTTTCAAGGAATGCCTGGTAAGTCAAATTAGTAAAACGAATCAAAGGACTGAGATATCTGATAGTGAATAAGTCGCTGGCCGTATGTAAGCACGAATTGCATGTGACATCACGAACTACATTCCGCCTGGTCTGGACGCACTGGACAGGAGGTATTGAACTCGCTCAACCCCACCCACCATCCATGAACTTGATTTATGTCGGAGAATGGAGTCAAAGGCCATTACTGCGAAATAATCGTTTTGTGGAAGAATTTTGTAGAAGCTAGAGCCTCAGTACAGCTTCATTTTCACCAGTATGAGGCCCGTGCTTGCACGAACACTTTAGGGGTAAAATCACATGGCGGGGTAGTAGCACGGTAAGGCCCGCGTCCGCGCCGCTCCCTAAGTCCATCTACATCTCCAAACTATGTCACAACCTACTCCAACAAAAGCCATTGTGCACAAACCCCCTCTAAGGAAAGATGTAGATAGACCATCTGTCATCCTCTACGGCGCCATTCAATCTGACCCAGCCAAAGACTGGCAAGGGTATCTCACAGCTTCACTATCCGACCTTCCTGTCGCTATCCTAAACCCGCGTTGCGATGCCTGGGACAGCACCTGGGTTGAGGATATCTCTTTTCCACCCTTCAAGGAGCAGGTCGAGTGGGAGATGGATCATGCGCGCAAAGCGGATATCATCGTTTTCTACTTTGCAGGCGACCCCAAAGTGTTGCAGCCGATTACATTGCTGGAACTGGGACTCTATGCCGACACTGGAAAAGCGGTAGTTTACTGTCCAAAAGGCTTCTGGAAGCGAGGAAATGTACAGATAGTTTGCCAAAGGTACGGCATTGAAATGTGCGAGACATTGGAAGAGCTGGGGAAGAACGTTAGAGCAAGGCTGATGGCTAAACTCGAAAATTAGGCAGCAAGCTCCTCGGAAACACCATGTGTTACTCTGCCGAGTTTTTTTGTCATCGTAGCGGGAAAGAAACTTGTTTTTTTATACTACCTCTCGCAAGGCTGAATCCGTTGCAACGTGCGATGTTTGATTGTTCAGCTGCCAAGAAAGCCACAGCACTGCCCCTGTTTAACTAGCAGCCATTTTCAATCCACTTCGGTAGTAGTCACGCCATTCTCGTCCAGAGCTAACTTGTTTTCCGCCATTGGTTTGTGAGCTGGGTCTCGACTCCTAGGCTAGGCTGAAGGCTGCGCTTTATGATAAGGTGGCAAGTGATCAATGACTTATGCTCCTCGTAGACACTCCGTACAAGGCTCTTGATGCCTCTTTGAAGTACTCCTCAGTGTTGTCCGTGAAGCTAATTCCTTGTTTCTATAACACTTTGTCATTTCCCGTTACATACTCCGCTACGTCGTAATACTACTGGCACACTCGACTGCCCAGCAAAGATGCCTGGCGGCCTTCGACTTCTCAGTCTAGATGGAGGAGGCGTACGTGGTTTGGCTTCACTTTACATGTTGAGAAAATTATTGTCCTTTGTTGGGAGTCCAAAACCATGCGACTACTTCGATATGATCTGCGGCACAAGTACAGGAGGCTTAATTGCCATCATGCTAGGACGGCTTGAAATGACAGTTGATCAGTGTATTGAAGCATATATTCGCCTAATGGACGTTGTCTTCGATCCAAAATACAAGAAAACACTGCCTTTTAAAGTACGCAACGGCAAAGTTCAGCCGCGATACAAGACCGAAGAGTTGGAGCAGGCCATCAAGCAGGTCATCACGAATGCTGGAGGAACATCAGATGATCACTTTAGAGGAGCAAAGAGATCAGCCTGCAAGACGTAAGAATGGACTAACCGCCAACACCTACGTAACTCGCTAACTTGATAACAGCGTCGTGATTGCTCTTACAGCAGAAAGCGCAGTACCTATACGCTTCACTGACTATAAAAAGGACGGCGAACATTCCAGCTTCTATGACGAGGTCCGAATATGGGAAGTCGCCCGGGCAACTTCTGCAGCAACATCTTTCTTCGCGCCGATGAAGATCAATCACGCTGGCGAACCGCGTTGCTTCGTTGACGCAGGTCTCGGCCACAACAACCCCATCGAAGAAATCTATCTCGAGGCAAAAGAACAACTCGGCAACCCTGAAATCCCATTCGACGACCAAATCCGTATCCTTGTTTCAATCGGCACAGGAAAACCACCACACCAAACCTTTGGCAAGAGCATCAGCGAAGTAGCAAAAAGCATTATACAAATCGCCTCGGAAACCCAAAAAACAGCAAACAAATTCTACGAAATGCACCAGGAACTCGCAGATCGAGATGGCTACTTTCGCCTCAACCCCCCAGATCTCTCCGAAGTCCTCCTCGACGAAGCAAGCAAGAAAAACATCATCGCCTCGCGCTCCGAAGCCTACGGCAACGATCCTGAAACAAAGAAAATGGTGAGACGCTGGGTGGCCGCCGCAGGAAATGAGCAAAGTATGTTGACCCTGGCTGTTGTTGACGATTTTTCTCTTAAAAAACCGTCAACATCCGCAGTAGTCCCTTGCAAGTTGAGATAGCCCAAATTTGCTGACATGAGATGCCATGATAGATATTGCCCCAACGCCTACCATACCACCGCAACGTTTGAGGTCTCAAGAGACAAAACGGTTCTACTCGCTGTACAAGGGACCAAAGTATATGAATCCGGAGGCGCAGTCGTACTGGCAGTATCTCACGCTCGATTCGTACTGCGTGTATGAACTCATATATCAAGATTGTAGACCCATGGATGGGAAAGTGACGTGTGCGTCTTCCTCCTTCCCTCCAACTTTAATCCCAAATCTTTCCTTCCTCTTTTTTTCGTTAATTCAAGCTGATACATTATCGTAGTGGAATCATTCCTCAACCAATTCGGCCCCAATCCCTCTCCCTCCCCCAGCCACATCGCAGAAACCTGGTCGCGCCTCCTCCGCGACAAGCGCAACGTACGCGAGTCAACGCACCGCAAGCCGTTCGTCATGGCCGTACTCTACATGTTACACATCGAGACGATTCTCGAGCTATCGAAGAAAGAAGTCGATGCGGATCAGCGGGAAAAGCTAAAGCGGTTCGACAAATGGGTGGCGTGTCAGTGCCGGCAACTCTGTTGTCGCCAGTGGAATTTCGTAAACGAGATTGGGTTATCAAAGGGTGGAGATGATCGGGTTAAATGCGACTTTCCGGCCTTGATTAAGAAGAGGGAGCATTGGACTGTGGCGTTTAAGACGGATCAGACCAAGAGGTTGAAGGCGACGAGGGATATGTGGTTGGCAAAGTTGTGATAGGTTGGGTGAAGCAGATGTTCATAAGCTTTCTTCAACACGATTTTTGCCTATCTTCTATGAGTTCTTATGTGCTGCGAAAAGACAAGGAGGGAAATCGTAATTTACGTAGTAGTTCATTAGAAGATTAAACGCTAGCAGAAACGTCCAACAGAAACCTCACTTAAGTTAGAGATTGTGTAGCAAGACACACAACATACAGAGGTATTTTTAAATTAAGGTTTTGAGAGTTGCACTATTGTGCTATTAATGATTTTACTAGTCATATCGTGAACTCTGCACTAAAACTCCTTTATCTAAAAAGGTCTATCCAGTACGGAAAGAAACTCTAGCAGCCGTTAGCATATAGTAGTGTGCTTGGATGTCTCTAAAGCTGTAGCGCAGAGTAGCTGGTTCTAGAAGCATGATCGGCCAAATGAGCCCATGAAAACGAATCTTTAGATAAGTTGATTGGTTTGATACCATTGCAAGTGAACCCGTGCCCAGTTTTCATTCCTCACATGAGGATGTATCGAAGATTTAAACAAAAACAAAACGCTATGCATGCGCACACATCAAAATCATCCACGCGACCATTCAGTCGTCTGGTATTGTGTTCAACATAACAATCAGGCCACCCTCTTGAACCCTACCGTCAAAGCACCAGCAATGGCGACCGTTGCTAAAGGCGTCCACTCCCTTAGATGCTTTGTTACGAACCCCTGATCACCAATCGATGACACTGCGATCATGGTCAGGAGGATAAATTCTACGAGGACGAAGGTGCAAAAATAGCGCAATCGAGAGCTCTTCTTGATGGAAAAGGTAGTGAAGGCGACGACCAGTAACGCAGATACACTCCAGAAACCGTATACAATCCAGTACAAGACGGGATGGGTATTTGCCTCGTCGTCAAAGACCGAGATCGCCAGGCCTGTTCCTACACCGAGTGTATTGAAGATAGGTATGCCCCATGTTGTTGATATATGTTGAGGGGCGGCTTGAATGATCGACAACTGGGCAAATATAGTGAGGAAAGTGAGTGCTGCGGGGTTGATACGGAGCAATTGGGTGCGGGATACCGTACGGGAGCGGTCACAGCCTTTCGGGGCTGTATTGGGGAATGCTCTGTATCGCGCCGATGATGCTTTCGGGAGGTAGGGCATGACGATCTTCTCATCGCCAGAGAGCTTCACAAGTCTGTCGTATAGCTGCTTGATGGCTGCACGCATATGCTCCTCCTTGCCAACCTGGAACTGAGTCCCCCCTTGCCATGCGGACGCTTCTAAATCATCCGGCTTCTTTGCTGCCCCGACGATGTGAGCCTCCATATCATCGGTTGGTTCACCATCGGTAGTGACGATGGTGTTGATTGGCTTGGTGGAGGCAGTATGGTTCAGGAAGTAGAGGTCGATGCCATCTCCGTCGTCTTGGGTGCAGATTGGAGTAATATTCTCTAGAGCCTTCCTGGTCTCTTGCCACGAGCGACCCGACATTGATCCGCTGTCATCAATGAAGATAGTGTCGAAGGACTTCAGGAAAGCATAAGGATCGGTGTCGGAAGGCTCAATATGTTCGCGATACGAATTTTCCGCCTTCAACTCGACCTTGGAGTTGCAAGGGGGAGCTTTGGGCACTGGTGATGCACGAGGAGTGACCGGATCGTAGTTCATACTGCCATCACCGCCCTGTTCAGATGCGAGTTGCCCTGATATATCTAGAAACAGGGAACATTATTAGCTCGTGTTGAGGCCAAAGGCAAAAGGTGCCTCACTTACGCATGGCGGCGAGCTAATGGTCCTGACTTGAGAGCCTTGCGGACGGATTTTGCTCGGGCAAGGAGGCCTTGGAGAGAGATTTGTTGCTACCACACAGATTGGACGGTGTATTGGGTGTATTTGACCGCGAACTTGATGTGGGATGAAGTCAACTTCATACACAGTGTAAGCTCAAAGGAAAGACGTCGAGGCAGTGCAGCCAACGCATATACGTAGCTTGGCGGTGGCCGTACCCCTCAGCTAGACTCCCACTTCCATCAACCATCTGCGATATCATATCTACTACCACTCTTATGCTGACAAAATACCTGAATCGACACAAGCGCCATATGGCTCCATCGTTCATCTTCAGAATCGACGAGATGAAGAACATGTAGGACCTTTGTTGCGACAGCCTGGCTCGCAATGAAGACTGACTCAGCTCCAGATCGGAACAGCATGAAAGCCGAGCCATATACTATCTTTGTGATGGAAGGAAGATCATACCCTTGAGTCGGGCGACAAAAGGTCTTGCGGTTGGTGCAGCGACAGTGGCCAGCTTGGTCATGAATGAATACCAACGTGCGGTAATGGCACAACAACCAAGTACCGAACAGAGGTCTTCAAGGATATTACCTAGCTTTGTGTTAGGGTCGCTCTTCGGCCACGAGAAGGTGTCTAGCGAGTCTGGACAATCAGTCAGTATACTCCAAGAGGTCATCAGGACTGTGATAACATTTGAACAGCAACCGCAGCGTCTCCTAGACATCATTCCCAACCCCGGTCCAGTTCATCTTGTAGTCGCTTGCTTAGTCTACAGCGCCGCGATCAACGTGTTCTACCACATCCACAAAAGGGACAGATATCAGCTCGGAATAGTTGCGTGCGGAACCATCAGCGCGTTGGCTGTAGGTTGGGCATCGAAACAAGATACAAAGGATGTGATCACAGGTCTGGGCACATGGGCGGTCATGGCGTCGCTGCTGCTGAGCGCTGCCTTTCATAAGTTGCTGCGAGAATATGGCGAGGAGGCGAGGATGCCTTCGTGATGGAGCGAAGGGACCCTATCCCCGTTCAATGGAGGGATGGGGCGAGCAATATGTTGGTCACGCTGCGACCTCTGTACGGCATTGAGTTCGTTGTAGTTTTCGAGGTGTTATAGATGAAGCAAATTGTGTTGATCCAAATGTCGCCAGACTCTTGGCTGTGAGCTAAATTACTAGGGTACCTTCCTTAGTAGTCACGCCAGCAAAGTCAGTACCTCGGTCATGTATCCAACCCTTTTCTTTGAAAAATACAATTGAGCCTCCAATATCCAAAATTTTCTCCCTCCACCGCACAATCCACATGCTCCTTCCATTTGAAATTTGTGCCCTAATGATCCCATGGTTCTAGTTGAAGCGGAGGCGGATTATAGCGCATGGTCTACTTGTTAGTATTAAGGCGCTAGCAAGTGGCTACAATATAAAGCAGATGTTGTGGCCAAAGAGAGTGTCAGATTCACGATACCCTTTTGGGGTGAGCTGAGATGCGGTAAAAACCCGTGTCAGTGGTGTAGTACTTATAGAAAGTTATAGAAAACCTTTCATAGTATACTTCAATATTTGAGAAGCTTATGCAGTAAGAGAACAATTACTAAGAAAAATATCTATGGTAAAATTTGACATTCATACACTACATACGTTACAAGGAATCTGAAAGTATAGACAAAAAGGTATCTCTCTACATAGCATGTCTCATTACGCATTGACCGGCCCTATTGTTCATGTACCGTCATCATCGGCCTGGGCGCCGCCCCATTCACGCTTCTTCCACCATAAACACTCCCATTCACGGACGGTTCCACATCAGGACTCGCGCCAAGCAGTGTTTCATTCCTCCACTGCTGTATCCTGGGATTAGTTGGCTGATAGTTGGAAGGCTGGTAGTTCGTGGGCTGGTAGTTAGTGGGCTGATAAGGCGCTTGCGGTATCCTGGCCGGATCAATGATATCTGCATTGCGGTGTCGTCTGTTGCGCCACCATGCCTTTATCCTCTTGCACCAACAACACCATCCGACTCCCAGCGCCAATAGAAGTACCACAGCGCCAACCACAGAGATTATAACGATCGACCTGGTGCTCAGTGCGGGTTCGTTTGAACTGGAACCGGTAGGCGCAGGGGAGTTGCGAGTAGACGTTCCAGTCGGGGACGACAAACCCGGGATGGATGGGAAGCCGGCAAGGGGGTCTGCACTCTCGGTTTCCTCGGCGGCGGGTTTGCCAGATGCAGTTTGTTTTGCGCCATTCGTTACTGTCGCGAGGAGAAGAACGTCTTCCGAGGTTGTCCCGCACGTTAACGAAACAAAGGTGATTGAATCGCTGAGCGTAGAACTACGCGCATAGGTAACGCAGTAGGGTGCTGCTTCCGAACTGGTTGATGTCTTTAGCGATCGCAAAAGGAGGTGCTAGAAAGTAAAACTAACCATTGGAGTATAGATCCATAGATCCGTGAGCAGGTATCGTCGGGAAGATTGTTGCCCATGCAGTCTGTTTGACCAAACGGACGACAAACGCTCCAATCGTTTATGCATTCTACATTGTTGCAACATGCGAATGCGTATTGAGCTCTGACGGTTGTGACGCAGTTGTATCCTGCTCCGCAAGTCACAGGCGACGCTGTGTTGGATGTGAGTTGCTGGCTGCCAGACACAGGTATAATAGAGGACTGTAAATACCTGAGTCACCACGAATAAAACCACATGTTCCGATCGCTCTTTTGAAAACATCCTCGTGTGCAAGTGGGGCGGGGGTGATCGCGCTCGCTGGTGCTAGTGTAGGCGATGTGGGTGTCTGCACTGGTACCTGTGGAATATCTCTTGCAAGAGCCAGTCCTGCTAAGAGTAAAAACAAGACACCAAATTTCGGGAACATTGCGACTGGTGATGAACGATGCGACACCTAGTTCCCAGGTATCGTATATGATTTTGAGGCGAGGGGCCGCAGCGCATACAGGTGTTGTGTCTGCCTTTCGGCTACCCCTGTACTCGAGCTGAACGGGCGCCTCAGCCTCGCTGTATGCAGGCACATGGTTGTCCCACATTGGACCAGTCCGCCGCCACCAATAAAGCTATCTGTATTCGTGACACTGTTGCATGATGGCGCCGAGGACAAACTGTATTCGGCCTGAGGGCTATCGGCAAATCAGGCAGACAGCCGTTGGGTGCAAAACCGGAAGCCTTGCTTTTTCCCAGTGTTGTCAACTGTCTTTGTCACAGCCACGCTATCCCTTGGTTTCAAGGGAGGCTTAGAAACCTTAGAGCACAAGTACCGAGGGCTTGTATGTGGTTCTGTAAAGCTTGCCAAGCACTCCTGGTAGGCTCATCAGCTCATTTCTGTCGAGGCTAGTCCCTGCGCACGGCCTAGATAGCTGTGCGCTTTTCCGTTCGTGGAGTGAGAATTGACTCATTGCAAAAACCTAGACTGTCATTTTTGGAGGACTTGCGCGGGTAACACTCGAGGTTTCGAGAGAGCTCCGGGGGTACCCGCAACCCGTGGTGACTACTTGACGCCAGGGCGCTAGTACAAAAAGCGACCGTGACGATGTTCGCGTAAGCAAAAGGGCCGAAGTTATATGAAAAGATGGGTGGGTTACATATCTGACTGACAAGGGGCTTCGTGAGAGCTTGGAAGGACTCATACGAACCCGTAGTGTGTTGCAGCGCCCTGTCGAGTCGGTGCCAAGCTCTTTGGCGTACAGTGGCCCTCTGTATTCAGTACAAGTAGAGCTTACTGTATACTAATATACAATTGAATTATGTGTCGAGAGTGAGTAAGAATCTCTAATGCTTTTGAGAGTGGAATTAACCAACCAATGGATATATAACAGTCTAGTGCTCGTACTCGTTGAACCACTCTTACTTTACAAAAAGTCGCATCGGAGATTATAGAGTGTATGGCTCTTGTTTCCAAGATACTCTTCGCTCGTCTCTCATGCGATCGAACCTGATGACACTCTGTAATAAGACTTGGGCACCCAAAGCGCAGTCTTCCTCCTTGCAAAATTCCCGGGGATTGTGGCTCACACCTTCCCTGCAAGGTACGAAGATCATGCTCGTCGGACAACGCTTACTCGCATACACGCTATCATGTCCAGCACCAGATGTCATTTCCATTGAGAGATGAGGCCCGACAATACTGCTCGCGGATTGGCGCACGGAAGCAATGCAATCGGCGTGGAATTTCGTCGCTGGGCTGTCAAAGTCCTCCACGATTTCCACAGTGAGCGGTAGGCCAGATGTACAGCCGTAATTGGAACCTTCCACATCTTCGCCTGCGGCAATCTTAGGAAAATCGCGAAGGATCATCTCTTTCATCTTTTCGACTATTTCATCCTTTGGAGCACGGATATCCAGGCTAAAAGTCACTTCTCCCGGGACTGTGTTCGTGGAGCCGGGCTTCAGGTTCAATATACCTGTTGATGCTAGTGCGTTGTTCGCGGTAGCCAGACGGTGAGAGTGTAGTATCATTTTGCTCGTCGTCAACAGAGCATCTGCCCGTGACTTGAGATCAGTAGTACCAGTGTGCGTATCTCGCCCCTTGACTTTGATTGTGAACCATTTGTACGCCTGAACCGAGGTGACCACACCAATCTTCTTGTTTGCCATCTCCAGCAGCGGACCCTGTTCGATATGTAGCTCAAAGTGCGCTGCCATAGGCGTGGCTTCATAACTAGCTGGCACATCTCCTAGGTAACCGATACGTTCGAGTTCAGACTTCATGGTTGCCGTGCCTGGATGTACTTCACGAAGGTTGTGCGCAGTCTCTAGTGGTATAGATCCTGCCCACACTCCACTTGAAACCATAGACATTGGGAATCGAGCGCCTTCTTCATTAGTCCAATTTACTACGCCAACGGGATACTCCGTCTCAGTCCAGTTTTCGGCAAGCACTCTCAACATCTCGATGCCGGCAGTGACGCCAAGAATACCGTCATACCGTCCACCGGTTGGTTGAGTATCGAGATGGCTTCCCACAAACGTCGGTGGTTTATCATTCCTCAGCCCCGGCCGGACTGCGAATGTGTTGCCCATATTATCGATGGTGACTTCACAACCCAACTCTTTCGTCGTCTGGACAAACCAGTCACGTGCAGCCTTATCAGCATCGGAGAGTGCGAGCCGATTCATTCCAGTTTCTGTCGGCTTGCTGCAATTGTCAGTCTGCAATAAGCCGCAGATGTTCCTGAATACTCACTCTCCCCACCGCTCACCTATACCCCATTGACAACTGTGGTGGATGTCATCCATCAATCTTGCTTGGTTGACCTTGAGTTCTTTCATCATGTCATCATTCATTTCCTTCGTCCTGATCTGCCATCTTGGCGAATTGGTAAAGCTCCTCGCATGTTCTTGCCCCACTCTCGCTATTACACTTGGTCGTGTGCTCAGAGCGGGGTAGCGTCTGCACGCGTTACGAAGAACAACAGGGGCTCTGCTCGCCAGGGAAGCCATTGTGTAGTAAGGGAGAAAGAGTAATGGGAGTAAAGGAAGACATCACGACGCGGCTCATGGAAGTCGGCATGTAAAGGAACGGGATGGCATGATAGGCGCCCTAGATGTGGGGAAGGGGCGGGTCGGAGAGCCGATAACAGTAGTCCGGTATCATGCCGCTTTCTGGGATACTTGTTGCCCGTCGGCCAATACCGAGCATCTGGCGGGATAACGGTCATGCGTTGAAATAATTCGACAACTATTGGTGCACATACTTGATATCTGGATGATAGCAATACGCGGTAGAGCGAATGGTCATTCTCATCTGCGCGATTGGTCCTATACATGGCCAATATAGCCTAGCTGAGCCCAAGTCCGTCAAAAAAAGTAATATAGAGCTAAACTTAGCAAATTCAGTGAGCCATCGGCAGTTATGTATAGTGTTCGGGAGCGGTAGCTAGAAAGGATACTTGGAGCTATGAACTGAGAATCATGTAATATTGGGTATCTACAAAAAATAAAAAGCACAATTCCCAAGCGCCGTATGATGCATAAAAAATCGAATCACGTCGAATGATGCAGTCAAACTGGGAGGAATTCAGACAGCCCTACCTTTTCCTTTGCCCTCGACAACGGGCTTCGCATCCTCTTCAGAAACATCGTCGTCTTCACTATCGCTCATAAACTCATCATCCTCGTCGTCCCAGCCAAACATGGTCCGCTGCTGAACAGGCTTTGATGCCGAAGCGGCTGGCTGAGCCTCTACTTCCTCTTCCTCTTCTGAGCTCTCTCTCTGTGCCATCAGCATCTTCTCAATAGCCTCGCGGGTCTTGTTTTCGGCCTCCTCTTTGTTCTCCACCCACTGTCCATCTAGACGTGCTGTGCCCCTGCTGTGTTGCAACTCCTCCTGCTTGCGCTCGGTGCTGGCGACAATGTCTTCTAATTTCTTTCGACGCTCCTCCTTTTCTCTCCGCTCCATCTCAGGCTTGATAGCTAGATATTCGGCAAGTGCCTTCGCCTCGGTGACTGTCCGCAGACGCCGTCCGTCAAGGTTGCGAGAGGATCCGTTCACGTCACCCTGCTTCTTCTTGCGCGACGACATGCGGCCACCCTGAGCGCGCAAGATGGATCCGAAACCACCCTTTCCACCGCACAGAGGTACAGTCAGGCGTAGTGACAGAAATGTGTCGGCTGGCGAAGAGAGCAGTGATGAGACGGGGGCTTCATCATGGCAGACTGAGCGGCGCGAGTTTGTGGTGAGGATGTAGGATGAGTTCTGAATCCATGGTGCGCGTTCATAGAGCGTTTCGTAGATGGAGCTGAGAGGTGCACTCTTCTCGGTAGCAAAGGCGATGTTTTGACCACGGATGCTGTTGACGATGACCGTGACAGGCGACTCGGTGGCGACGTCCATAATGACGGTTTATCGTGAGTGGAGTTGTGATTCGGAGTGGGGTATATCCGTGTTTTTCGTTCGTTCCAGTAGTCGGATGCAGGTTGATGTTGTTATTGCTGTATGCTGGTGTTTGCGTGTATGTGTATGTGGTGTGAAGGCTGGATTGGTATTGAAGCAGGCGGCGGTACTAAAGACCTAGACGCGCGACTTGGCACAGGTGGTCATAGCGCCTCGCTTAGATTAGTCGCGCACCCTTCCGTCGAAATGCCTACGTCCGGCGAACTTCTACTCATCGACCTCACCAACCAGTTCAAGCATCCCCGAGTCTTTTCGCAAACCGTCAAGATGCTCATCCCCAAGGCCGACCGCAAGGCGATCCACGAGTTAGTCCACCTCTGCAACCGTCCTGGGAACTCGCGCAGTCGAGCTCTGAGTTTCGCATGAAATATTCCGACTTGATTCCTGAGCTTCCCTTGGCCTTTCAGTATATTCAATTGAATCAAACGGCTGACAATTATTTCACAGGTACCTCTTCCGAGGTTAGTATCCCCGCGCATTCGAGCCATGGCTATGGCACAATTATACATTTTGGCGGCTTTGCTGCACACTACAAGGATAGGCTGACACACGGTCACCACAGAGGGCGTACTGGTCGCAAAGAAGGACTTCAACCTCCCCAAGCACGGAGAGATTGACACCAAGAACCTTTTCGTCATCGTACGTGTTATTCTTCTACTTTGAAATCAATTGATTTGCTAACTCTAGACAGAAAGCTTGTCAGTAACATGTGCTACACCGCAACCCCACGTTGGTTCCTAACAGTCAGCAGGCCAGTCTTTGACCTCCCGCGGTTACCTCAAGACCCGCTTCTCATGGCAATACTACTACTACACCCTCACCCCCGAGGGTCTCGACTACCTCCGTGAATGGCTCCACCTCCCCGCCGAGATTGTTCCCCAGACCCACATCAAGCAGCAGCGCTCTGCTCCTCCCCGAGGCATGCTCGGCGGTGACGACCGTGAGCGCCGTGGCGGAGGCCGTGGCGGCCGTGGCGGTGACCGTGGCGAGTACCGCCGCCGTGACCAGGGCGAGAAGGGTGAGGGCGGTGCTCCCGGCGAGTTCAAGCCCGAGTTCCGTGGTGGATTCGGACGTGGCCGTGGTGCTGCTCCTGCTTCTTAAAGCAGTTGAGAGGGCTTTTCGGAGTAGGGCTAGATATCGTTTCATCTTCATGTCGGGCTTTACTGCATAACAAAATGGGTTCGGATACGGCGAAATGACCGGATGATACTACGAATGGATCGCTTGTCTGAGTTGCGATGTCGCAGTCTTAGATGACCGTGTTCTCAATGATACCCCATACGCTTCGGTGATTGTTCAATTGTTTTTGTCATTACAAGTTGTTCCATGACCACTGTCGGGAAGAGTCGTTGCAATCAGTCTCTTCAATGTCCGCCTTTTCCTGGCTTCAGTAACCCATCCCCACTGTTCATCCACATACTCCCTACTTGCTCAACACTCAACTCACCCATCTCCTTTTCAACCAATTCCTTCAAGAAACTCATTCTCTTTTCCATCTCCAAATCACCGCCTTGCATATCCCCTTCCTTATGTACTACCTGCCTCCTCCCCACCACTGCCACATTCCTCGTACTAGGAATCCTCAAATACTCCTTCTCAACCTCAAACCCCGTCTCCTCCGCCAAATGACACACCCACGAGCAAAGACTCGCATACGCCGATGGCTGCTTGTTCTTCTTCCGTGCCTTCTCAGTCGCCGGGTCTGCAACAAGGTGTTTAGCATGCACCGGCGCACGGAACCGTGTGCCGCCTAGATCATGGCTGCAGCATGGTATAGCGATGAAAGGTGAGGAATTCAGATATGCGAGAAGAGGAGTCCAGGGTGTGAGTTCGTCGGCATGATTGCTGATTATGAAGGTTTTTGGGGGGAAGATGCCGCTGTGGTGGGGTGTCGTTGTTGTCGTGGACGAAAGGGTTTCAGGCGTGATTGGTGAAAGAGAAGGAGAGGCTTGGATGATAGCTGGTACGAGTAGCATTTCCTTGAGTTTTTCAGCGTGCGATGGAGGGAATGTATCCCAGGATTTTCTGCTGCGCGCGTCGAAACCCCAGCCGGACCAGCCTTGGGTGGTTAAGATGGAAACGAGGAGGCCGTTGCCGCAGCCGATGTCTACGAAGCCGGGGAAGTTTGATTGTGCTGCCTTCTTTCTTTCAGATTTAGATACTTCGTCGTCGGGTACTTCGGAGTTGGCTTCGCCGCCGTACATGTCTACCCAGAGTTCCTCAAGAAAGGCGGCGATGCCTAGATCCTCGAAGACATGTTTCTCGGGTGGTGTTTGCTCGATCCATGCGGTGATGAGATCCTTTGCGTATTTGCCCTTGAGATATGCATACGTGTCTTGGAATCGTTTTTGTCCGATTATCCGATCATGATGCACGCGTTTCCTGTAGCCTGCCTGTCGACCGCGCGCATGCTTGTGTATGATCTCTGCAAGCTTGAGTGCTGTGCGCTCGAGTCGATTGTCCAGTGGTACTTGAGGAAAAAGGTTGTAGTAGACAGATAGCAAGCCCGGTGACTCCAGGCCAGAGGGTGCGTCAGATTTCGTAGGAAAATACGTGTACAGGATTGCCAAAGCGCGGACTTTGGGATGGTAGTAGGGAATCGCTTCGGCACCACTGTCGGTGTCGTCAACATGCGGAATGTAAATGACCATGTGTCTTTCTGCCTTGACCGTCTCTTCTTTTTCTTCATCCACAGTAGTCACCGTGATATCCTCTTCTGAAACAAACAAATGACAAGTCTGCATAAGTGCATCGTCCAACTTAGGATTCCGTGGCACCAGTTTCCGCACAACTGTGTAGTCAAGTGTGTATCCTGGCAGTCCGCCTCGGATTAGCCGTGGCCGGCATTCTGGGCGTAGGTGCTTGATGATGTTAGCGAGTTCCTCGGGCGTCTCGGCCTGCGGGTTGAATGTTGCGTCCGTGAAGCTGGTGTACGAGAGCTCTGCACGCGAAAGATGCGAGGCGGTGAGATTGGGGTTTTCGAGTAGATTATGGCACACGGAAAGAAAGTGGTCGGGCGTGAAGTTAGCGGGTGCGCATTGTATGGGGGTCCACAGATCAGAAGGGAGTCCAGAGGGGATCTTGGGCCATGAGGTGGGGTTGTAAGGTGCGAATTTTTCGCCTAGGATCTCTGGTGGAGAAATACACGGTACTGCTCCTGTTCGCTGTGTTGCTGGCGGCGTCTCTTGTTCTTGGTTTTCTTGTGTTACGCTCTCGTGATCTGGGACTTTTGACCTTTCCTGCGCCATGACTTCTTGTACCACTATCTCTTTCTGATTTGCAGTGACTTTTTTCTTTCCGCTTGTGACTCATATAATATGTGAAATATTTGTCAAAATACGGTTTTCGGACTATGTGTTTCGATAGAAAAGTTTGTTGACACAAACATGGCAGCGAATCAAGCCATTGTCGCGCAAGATTGTTATTGTAAAGATGGTGTTTGTGAGTAAGCGTCGAAGCGATCAAATTGGACATTAGCCCCTCCACTGTTTTCCTGGTATGAATGCAGCCACACCATGTCCAACATAACAAGACTGCAAAGTCAGCGTTGTGGGATTTTCTAGCAAACATATTTCGGTAACCTCTGTTCTAGTCGTTGTCTCGAGTGATGCTCCTAAATATGTTTTTTAACGATGCTGTATGCCCATGTATTTTGTCCTCTTGATTTGCATTTCTGTACAGAAAACTCGTAGATAGCTCGACAGAACCGGAAATAATCTATCATATCTCTCTATACATGTCCATGTACAGCATACCGTCTAATGATAACCTATACTCGTCAAATGGACGCAGACAGCAAAAAGCGCCTTATCGAAGTCCCATCACACCTTGCTTTTTTTAAGCTTTTCACCTGCCATAGTAATGCGCCATCTCAAGTCCTGCCCTCTTGAACCCACACTTGACATAGAACCCCTCGTTCGCCTCTGAGCAATCCAGAATAGTCTTGTAGCACCCAACCTTCTCCGCGACGAAATCCAGCGCTTGGATGATTCTCAGTCCGAGCTTCTTGCCCTGCTGGTCCTTTGCAACCGCAATATCCTCGATGTGTCCGACAAGACCGAGTTGGTGGATGAATTTGCGCTCGACAATAAGGGCGCCGGTACCGACAATGGCGTTGGACGAGTCGGTGATGCAGAGGAGGAAGTATTCATCGTTGCGGGCGGACATCCAGTCATAGCGCTTGTTCCATTGCTGGAGAGAATACGTATTAGTTGTACTAGATTGTAAAACGAGAGTGGTCCATTTCCTTGTTTGCTACATTTTGTAGAATATGCATGTCACTTACCTCTTCAGTTATGTCACCAACAGTAGTGAGTACACGTAGTACATCCAGGAACCCATTTGCGTAGTCCTTTCGCTCGAGGGGTCGGCAGTTGTAACCTTCTGGTAGAGCCTTGAGCACTTCTGGAGATATAAGATCGGTGCTAAAGAGCGGGCCTTCTCCTGCTGCAGACATTGTGGTGGTTGTATATGTCGGTGTAAATTGGCGGTGATTCCGAGGATTGTTTATATGCGTCGCCTCAGGGATGGCAAAGGATTATATATAGCAAATCGCAATTGAAGTGTCAACAAGATTCTACAAGCTCAGACGAGTACAGTTTTCTCCGCAGCGAAGATGGGAGAGCAGGGCAAAGAAATAACGGGCGTGGTTGGCTTATCGATACGATTGGCGGTGAGGCTTGGCATTACCCTGAACAAGACGAATGACGACGGATCATTTCTACCCTCGGACTCAACACCAAATTAGCCGCAAAAGAAATTCTATATTTAGAGCAATACAGCCCCGATACGAGACTTTGCCTTCATCGTCCGAAACATGATCGGTATCCACGACATCGCGTTAGATCATTACTACATTCTCGGATCCCCCGACTTCACTTTCTAACCACATTATAACTCGTGGGGCATCTACGCCCGCAACGACGCCCTCATCATCGTCTCACAATCCAAGTCATCATGTTCTAGCACCACGCCCACAATCTTCGCCAGCGCCTCCATAAGCCGCATATTCTGTCTCTGTAGCAGCATAACCCGTTCCTCCAGTCTTTCCGTCCTACGCACTGAATCCTCTTCCTCAAATCCCTCATCGTCATGCGCATGCATTATAGCGTCGTGAAACGCATCTGTGGTACATGCGGCCACGTCAACAAAACTGTCGCGGTATTTCCCTCTGATATTCCTGCTGTAATAGCCATCAGGCGCTAGTTTACGTTTTACGTGCTGTGAATCTCGCAGTTTATGAGCTCGTGCTTGTTCATGATAAGTCATGTGCGGCTCAGAGAAGGAGTGCATTGCTGCTTCAGATGATCCGTATAGGATATGTTGTACAGCAGAGTTCTCAGGCGGACACAGCGTATCTTCCTCGAAGCCGTTGGACGAGACATTGCGTGTGTGCTGTTGACCCTGGACTGGTAGCGCTGGAAGCGGTTTGACTATCATATCGCATTCGTTTTCCGTCGTTGGTATCACAATCCGCAGGTGTCTTACGCCCCCAGACGTTTTCGTCTCGCGCACCCAAGCGGGGTTAATAGGTGTCTGTTTGGCTATTCTCTCAGGAGAAGAACCTCCTCCATGTGCCGGTGCCTGCTTTTTTCGCTCCTTCGGTCGGAAGAATTTGATACTCCTTTTTCGTTGGCGGAGTTTAGGGTGCTTGGACTCCGTAGGCGATGGTCCGGTATGTTTGAGATAATAGCTGAGATCGTTCAAGCCAAGATTGGCGTTCGCGGTGAGTGCTTCGTGACTGAGGATTGGTGGCGCCAGTCGGCCTACCGGCGGATGGTCTCTCTGTTCTGCTTTCCCTACATCAAGGTATTTCGGGCCTCGCGCTTTATGTTCACCGTCCCGAATATGAATCTTCCTAGACAACACATCTTGTGCATGGTCTAGACTGCCGTTTTCACCAACCGCCGGCAAAGAAGGAGCGATATGAAACGGGAAGCCTGAAGGTATGACGCTCTTTGGCCCTCGATAGAGCAGTGCTGGTAATGCCTCGCGCATGTCCGATTCTTCAGCAGCATAGCTCACATATTGTTTCCTGACTGGTGCAGAGATTGATCGCTTAGGTAGTTCAGGAACAAGCATCTCTCGCGAATCAGACGAGTACGCATGGAACGTCTCAGAGGTTGAAAACGGTTCGCCAACCTGACTGTCCAAATACTCCTGCGTCACTCCAAAAACAGCCACATTCCCAGCCTGTTCGATCTCTTTCTGTGGCAGTTCACTAATGACTTCACGGCTAGCCTTCCGCCTGTTCTTGGTGCTCAGATGCTCCAGTGATGCATGTCGTGAAGCACTCCTCGAATCCGGCGCAGTGACCTTGAACGATACTCTGCGACCTGAGTACTTTCTATCCGGGGAATGATCGATTTGCGGCTTCGTACTCCAACCACCGACTTCATATCGTGTATACCCAGAAGGCAAGGCTACGCGTGGCTCGTACTTGAGAGCTCTAGCCACTGGAAGTGAACTCGAGCGTTGAATCGGCTTTACCGATAATAGATGATCCTCTCTTGACGATGGAGATGCTACCTCTTTCGAATCGAGCTCCACCGGAGTCGCAGGAAGAACAGAAATCTTGTAGTCCCCTTGACACGACTCTGCTGAAGAACTGTACCCGCATGGACTCGCAAATATAGTACTCTCATCAACCGACACGGCGCAACCAAACATCCTATGGCAGGAGTACTTTTCACGGGAATGCCCTAGCGATCCATATGCATCCATTGTCCTGGGCGTTTGCATTTCGTAACTCCTTGGAGTGTGATTGAGAAAAGTCCCTTTCCCCCTCTTCTGGGTCTTAACCTCATGTTTGAAAACTATTGGCGGCGAGAGGTCGAGGCTAGCCGGTTGCGTGTCTGCAGTGGTCGGTGGGGTATTTTCATCGAACATTGAGGATGTTGATATGCTCTCGAACGAGCCTGATGTTGTGCTTGTGCGGTTACGGGTGTCGTAGAATGTTCCAGCGTATTGAAGGGCACTCCACCCTGTGTGACCGAACATGGGGAACGAATTCAGGATTCTCTCTGTAGATACGGAAGACATTGGCGGCGGTAGTTGTTTTGGCCGGAAAACTCCGAAGTGAACGGTCGTGACTGCTGGACTCCTTCTCGGACCGGTATCAGAGCAGACGCAGGGAAATGCTTGCTCGGTAAGTGAGACTGATGAGAATCTAGTAGCCCAGCAGACGCAGTGTTTTTGTGTCTCAGGATCTGACTGGACGAGTAGTACCCGTGGCGTGCGATTGTTTTACGGAATCTCACTCTCTGGCAACCGACACCTCCTTTGGACCTATACTTCCTGCAAACAATTCGCGGTCTCTAAACCAAATGGGAAAATAATCATGCAATGCACTCTTTCCGCATACGCGTGTAAACAAATCGCTTCTCAATTTCGTAATCGTACAAAAAAAGACAGGGAGCTCAATCGTCGCACAACAGTGTGTCAAAGGCAAAACCGACAAGCAAACAGAGTTTTAAACAATGCAGCAATCGCATAGACACAGATATATCTTTTTTCGACGTCTGAAACAGAAACAGTGGAAATGAGGAAATGATGCCAAAAAAGAAAATAGTCGACGCAGAACACGAAGCCGAAAGAAAAAAGAAAAACGAAAATCAACTACCGTTACCTATCCAAATTCAGACTCTCCATCACCACAGTAATGAATCCCATACAAACTTCCATCTCTCACCGCAACATTTCCATACTCTCACTCGATAACAAAAAAAAATAAACTCACTCATCATCGATCCCTCAAAAACACCAACCCATCACCCCAGCCTCCCCTCCGATGCACTGATCCCCCATCGCGCACAGAGTCCCACGAATCCACGGTACACATTTCCATCTACGAAATCGGGAAAGCGCAACAGAAAATCGTCAGCCGTATGTAGTTACTCGTACCCCGGTCCCCAATCCTTGGTAGCCACACGACGTATGTCCTTTTTGCTTGTTCCGGCAGCAAAGACAAGGAATAAACGTTAGCCCCGGTATCTGACGCCTGCCAGATGCGCGAAAAAAAATAATATTGAAGTGTATAATGCTGGAGTAGGTAGAAGAAAGGAAAGGGTATTTGGAAATGGGGGATATGTAAGGGTGAAAGGGGGGGGGAGGATTGGCGTGTTTGGAGGAGTTGCGTGGCGAAGATGCAGATACATACATACATACATACTTTTACTGTCATGATGTTTTATTGTCAACGGCAAAGATTGCGTGGGTGACGCATGGGTTGAACAACGCATGAACCAGG